TCACCGAGGATGGGGTGATTAAAGGTTGATTTTAATTCCAACAGTTTTCTTAGCAGTTTGTGTAGACGGGAATAATGTAATAGTTATTTATTTCTGTACGTACTGTATGCGTTCGTGCAAATAGACATCGAGCTAGTACTAGTGTTGCAAGGGACGTTTTAAATGGTATCTGAGGGAAGTATAAAAAATACACCTCAATCCAAATACATAATTATTATGTATCTTCACTCTAGATTACTACGATAGAATCAGAAAAAAAGAAAGCAGGTCAAGATGTGAAATGTTGATACAGGTACAGAAAAAAGTGTTGGTTCATACTTAAATTTAGAGCACCACTCTTGTACGCTAAGCTCTCGCCCCAATCTGGTGTACGTTTTAAAAAACCTTTCCATTTTTTGTATTAAATGACGAAAACTAATTAAAATATAGTGAACACCAAAACCAAAAATGAGCCGAGATATCCTTTGTGGTTTATTGTCATCTTTAGCTCTTCATTACTTAGCCGTTATTTGCGGTTGAAATAATACTTCATTTGCTGTCCTAAACTTTAAAAAAAAACCAGGAGGGTAAAATTTTGACTATTAATTATTTTAGGAAACTAAGAAATAGAATAGTATTTCTACGATTCCGACCACTGGCTAGATTCAAGGGGAGACAATGAAACTGTTTGTGATGCCAGGTGCCAACATCACACTGTGACACTCTACCTCTCACTTAAACTCCAAGGCGATTCAGTATGAACTACTGCGTCGACTAGTCGAAGGTAAATAAAATATATTGTTGCTCAGCATTGTAATGTCTTCATGATCGAGATGAAGGTTCTACATCAATACACGTCGGAGAATCGTAGTAGGCCCTAACTGTTGTTTTAGACCGGACACGGCACAGGTCAGCCTGAGGAGTACGACTTTAAAAAGCAACTTAAGATTTTACTAAAAAGCAATTTTCCAGTTTGGTTAAATAAAAATCATTAATAAGTTTTAGTCATATTTGCTGGATGAGGGTAAATAAGGTCTAGGGTTAACCTTATCCTGGATTCAGGTAATAAAATATAAGGTAAAGTAAGGGACCATCGTCGTCTTCGCAGGTCTCTATTTCAGTTTCACATACATACTACATACATACTATACATACATGACATATTGAATTAAGATAATAAGGCAATATAAGGAACGGGTTAGAGTTAGTGTAGCATCATTAGGGTTTATTTATTGCCCTAAAATCTTAACCCTTGCCCAAACCCTAACCCTAACCCTTATGCCTTATATGATATCATCTGAATCCAGGAAAGGTGAATAAAAGATGTACCAAATTACTGACAACTTTGCATATAGGGTAGCTATAGTAGAGATAGATCTAATCTAGATAGAGTAGGCTACAAGGATGCTTATTTTTTAAAATAGAATCTAGATTATATTGTGATTTGTACGTATGATAATGATTAGATTAAGGCCGTCGTTATTCGGACTCGAGTCCGAATAACATTTTTTCACATTCGGACTCGAGTCCGAATAAAAAAATTCTTTATTCAGACTCGATGAAAAAATGTTATTCGGACTCGGGTCCGGAAAAAAGGAAGTGTCTTCGTTCTATAGATTCGTTCACAGACCTGCCACTCATCCTGATTTAATTTAGTCGGGATATCCCGATTTTTTGCCCCAAATCTCAATCCTCCCGATTTCGATCGCGTGTATCCCGATTTCTTGTCCCAGTCTGCTGTTGTGCTGGATCTTTCTAAAAACTTACTCTGCGTTTTCCTTTATCGCGGGAAGCACCCGTCGAACTTTTTGTCTGTAGGAACTCTGAGCACTATTTCCCGAAATATCGATGCCGCATTTAGTAGTTGACTCGCCCCAAGTAGTGTGTGATCTTTTCCCGCTCTCAGAATTCTCCTATGACAGCCTGGTAACTGTTACAATTTGGGACATTTAATAATCGATAATATTAGTAGTTCCGCTGTTACTTTCAAAACAAGCCTTGTCCGAGGTCTGGTAACTGCGCGTTCACATCAAACACTCGGACGAGCAACAGTCTTTCTAATCCTTACACAACTAGATCTACATGTAACTGTGCTGACAAGACTAACATACGACCGTTGTCGTTGCTTTAGTCTGAACACATTATGATTATGAGGGATAAGAGATTTGTTGGTACATTTGGTCGGTGGGTCGGCCGCCCTCGCTATCCTGGAAGTAGAACGACTGTCGCTCATCCGAGTGTTTCGTGTGAACGCTCTGTTAGTTGGACCCGTAAGTAAAATTGTTTCAATCGCGCATTCGCGTCACGTGACATATTATTATCGCCGTGTGAGTCCTGCGTGTCGGGGACCGTCTGTTGACGGGGTCAACTTAAGTTCATGTATTTCGGGACTTATTGGTAGGGGGGGGGGGGTATAGACACTTGGACTAGGAGTGCTTGAAGCGATGCTTCAGGATTTACAAAAAAAATAATGATAACTCGTACGTACGCACGCGCTTCAGGATTTACAAAAAAAATAATGATAACTCGTACGTACGCACGCACACACACACATACACACGCACGCAAACAAACAAAGACACACAGAGGGCATATAGGCCAAGGAATTTATGGACACCACTGGAAAATTTTTAAGTCAGCTTTGGCAGTCACCTTGGTGATATGCTGTTGATCCCGATTTTTTTCTCCCTGAGATCCTGATTTTTGAGGTTTCATAGAGTGGCAGGTCTGCGTTCAGTGCTTCCAAGTTTCCGCCATTTTTTAGTTTCCCCCACACCTTTTCTGCAGATCCGATGCCCGCCGCCTCATTGATACGCCCCCCCCACCCCCCATGTTTCCCACTTTCTTTGTTGTAAAAAAAGGTAAAATTGAAGATTAGCAAACCACCTGGCACCTGCATATTATGAGCTGTGTAAAAAAAAAAAACCGATTCGTTCAAATACACAAGCCTGTGTCATCTCGATTGTTTACCAAGGAAAAGTTGTGTTGCTGTGTAGAGCTGAGAATACGGCAACTTTTGATTCCATACACCAGCGCACAATTCATTACGTAGATCTACGTCAAGACTAGCTTATTATTGTATAATGATCAGTTGCCGGGGGAAAAAAAAACTGACGCGTATGGGATGTTCAACACCCGGACCGATAGATAGTCCCCCACCCCCCTCCCCGACACGCACACAGCCACACATGTGCAGATCGCCCATCCGACCCCGACACACGCTAACAAGCCATCTTTAATTGCTTCTGATGACCTCTTGACAAACATTTATTAGAAGCGCTATGAAACTTTTCAGGCCGGCCTGAAATTCATCATAAGATTAAAACTCGGCTCCTGCACAAAACGCCTTTTTGCCCGAAGTGATCCCGGTCTCTACCCAGCCTGAGGCGAGTCACGAGTGAAGCAGGACAGGAAGCTGGAGTCACGAGTCACAAGAAGTCGGAAGTGATGTCATGCTGGTCAAGAATCAGAGTTCGAATAACATTTTTTCATATTCGGACTCGAGTCCGAATAGTCACTTCGTAGATTAAAACCATGCTAGTTTATCAGTAACGCCTTCCTGTATATTTTGATCATTGCATCGTGTTCTAAAAATAGGTTGCCATATAAAATCAACTCTTTGCACTCTCACTGTCTAGCGTACTTTCTTTAACCAAAACAAAAGTATACACATCTGTGACACTCTGTCGACACTTTTGCATTACAACTAGTAGTATACTTCAGTTTTGTGCTAGTCAGTAGCATGCTTCAATTTATTAACCTTACTTTACTGTACTAAACTCAGAGGTGGGTATTTTCCAGATGAATACAGAAACCTGGAATTCTAAAATTGTTATTGACTGCAACTTAGATTCTAGATCTACCTGACTTCAGATACGTAAAATATTGATAAATATTTTATATTTTTAGTCTCTTTGAGCACATGTGTATGCATGTGTACATGTATCTTTGTGTTGATGATTACCAAGAAAGATTTGAGGGCTCTCGTGGCCTAGAGGTTAAGGAGTTTGACTCTCATTTAATAGGTCCCGGGTTCGAATTCGGATAGTGACGTACATTAATTTGTTGTATTTACAATTGTCTCCTTTCACCTCCTTTCCTTCTCAAGCAATGTTCTGTCGTTTGCTTTTGTCTCCACTTTCTTCCCCCACCCCTCACCACCTTTGCCCCCTCATGGGCTCCTGACTCTTTCTGCAGCCTTTCCACTGCTACTCCTTGGCTCCCTCTTACTGCTGTCTTTCAACCACACCCCTGATCTTATGGTAGGACTAGCCTTCTCAGATAAGGGCAAAAAATCTCTGAGATCCTGTTTGCAGGTTGCGTACGTTAAAGATCCCTTGGTGGTCCAAAATTGATTGCAAATGAGAGTAGGCTTTGGCTGCCACCAAGGCAAATTCAAAATTCCTACCTACTGAAAATGTTTAATGTGTCCCGCACGCTCATATGACCTTATGCAGTTGTGAGTGCTGTAAAACCTTACAAAATAAAACAAAAACAAAATACGAGATTTATGCAAATGATCCATAAATTATTAGTCCCTGCACACATCCATTTCATCTATTTTCACAGAGTCCAAAAAGTTTCAAGATTTTTTTTCATACTAGAGTAGAGGAGGTAGTCTGCGCTACCCTAAGCATAAAAAGTGACCTTGCCAGTCCCTGGTGAGAGGGGAGTTAACCGCACAATAACTAATGAGAAGCAAATTTTGTCCCCTATCATCGGCCCAGCGCTCTATGCCTGCTTCGTTTGCCTGTCTCCCTCAGTAGTGGTATTTGTGAGGCAAAGTGAGGGCGGGTGTGTACGACAATCAGCTGGGATGTGCGTTACTGCTTGAGGGTGGCGCGTTTTAAGGAGGGGCTGCGCGCTAGGATAGGACGGGTCTTGCTACATGCCCTAATAAAGTCTTATTATGAATCTTGTAGGCTAACGTATGATTTTCTAACCACAAAGGAAGAAATATTCTTACAAATTACACAAGAGATAAGTTACAAGTGGCACTCAATTTTTATGTATCATTATATTAAAATGAAATTATATTGTTTTGGGGGGGTGGTTTCAGTAGCTTGCCAAGCAGAATGCAAGAAAGAAACAGGCTTCAGTAACTCTTGTTTGCAGCTGAGACAAAAATGGTGCAACGGTTCAGCAATGGCCTCCCAAGTAGGAGCATACATCCTCCTTCTGGGTAACTATAAATTACTTCTCTTTGAAAACACATAGGTTATTGGAGTTTCTTAAAAGGATATTTGTTAAAGCCATTACGGAAATTTCTTTTTGTACACGTGGAAATCATTTCTGAAGCTTTAAAAAAAAAGTATTTTTCATGAATTATAAAACGATGTGTAAAAAATTATGTATACATAGTTGTAATTTCCTTCTGAAAAAGTTCTCAGGTGATTTCATTTTCCTGACTAATTGAAAGATTGAGGGGTAAATATAGGAACTCTATCAAGTGCTGAGTATTATAAGTATCGTGGAGAATTTTTCATACTTTTGGCTGTTCCATAGCCATTTTAGAAGTCGATGCAGAAAGAAGATATATATTTTAATGTTTATATAAAGGGGGAAAAACGTTCCTTGTCAGTTTACGTGATAGAATTGTTGAGAATAATCAATGTGAATCTTTGTCTTTTCACAGGTTGACTGTGTATATCGTGCTTCTTGTTATTTCTAAATTCCTGAAAGCAGTAGGCTTATATATTGCCTATGACCTCCTGAAGGTCATTCCTGTGGTTGTGTTTCTTTTCTTCTTAAAAGCAGGGTAAGGTTCGTCTTAAACTTCATGTTATGTTTTGTGTACTCATTATTATTACGAATTAGAGATTTACCTCTCGGAAAGTCTTTCTGTCATGTAGGCTCAAGAATTTTTTAAAGCAAGCTAATGTAACATTATTTGTGCGGTTACTATTTGTCCTATGCTGATATGTCTATAAATGATCATTTATTTGTAGAAAATAAAAATGGTGAAAAACATTTTGTTGTAAAAACTGTTAAATGTTGTCTGTAAGTTTGTTTTTTCTCTACGATACTTGTGTGGTTGGTCTAGTCTTCATAATGTTCAACTGTAAATTCAGTTCTGGTTTCAATGATGTTGTTTTCTTTATGTTTGCTTTTATTTTTAATCCATCAAAGCAATTCAAATAGCTTTCAGGTTTTATTGTTGCAAATGGATTTAAGCAATTAGTAACAGTAAGTCTTTATAATGTATGGAGTCACTCATTTCTTGCTGCTTTGTTGGTATGCAGCTCCAGCTTTCGTACCTTTCTAAATGTGCGGATTCCATGTTCTTCCATTTTTACTTTTGAAAATTTCATGTGAGGGTCAGATAATATTTGTTTCAGTGTGTTGTTTTGTCCTTGTGTAGCTTGTTGTAAAGGTATTATTTTATTTTTCTACTTTTCTCATTGTTGTGCTACTGTCTTAATTTCAGGACCTCAGTGCCATTAGTGCTTCTGCAAAAACCTTTCACAAATGGGCCGAGGCTATCAAAGCATCAGGTATTGCTTCTTCTATTTGTTTGATAAAAGTTTGATTTTCAGTCTTTTTATTTAACGAATGTTTGCTTGAAGTTCTCATAAAATCGTTAATAATTCTCACATGAAATTATAGGATGCGTATAATGAATTCAAATTACTGCAATTTTAAGTGTTTCTTTTCAAAGTAACATCATTCATAAAGTGGAGACACATGGAAGTCTGAAAGAAGTAGAAAGCAAAATTCGACTCTGTTAATATGATTTAACAGAAAATATGATTCCCATTTTTGTACTAGCTGGATTCATAAGCTCTTTCATTACAGACCAGTTGCAATAGGAGGACTTTAATGCATACTTTGAAGCACTACCATTCAGTCTGAAATTGCAAGACAGAATGCTAGGGACAGATAAATGTTTTGTAACTGTAAACATTTCACTTTTCTGTAATTCAAGCTGGTAATTTGTGTTTTTTACTTGTATTGCATGCCAATCATCACATTTTATGAGAATGAATACTACAGGAGAAGAAAAGTGGCAGTCACATTTTTTAAATTTTAAGTTATACTTATGGAGGCTTCATAACAGTACTGTTTAACGTAAAGTTTTGAAAAAGAAAACTCACAGGGTTTTGTAAATATAAATCTTTTGGGGATACGATGTTCCAAACTTTTTTTTTGGGGGGGGGGTAAGTATTTCACCACGCTCGCAACTGCATAAGGTCATATGAGCGAACGGGACACATGAAACATTTTTCAGTTTGTAGGAAATTTGGAATTTTACCCGGGTGGCGGCTAAAGCCTACTCTTGTCGATTTTAGACCACCAAGGGATTTTTAACGTGCGCAACTTGCACACGGGACCTCCGAGATTTTTCGCCCTTGTCCGAGAAATCTAGGTATAGATCTTTCCTACCAGAAGATCAGGGGTGTGGCTGAATGACAGCAGTAAGAAGGAGCCAAGGAGTAGCAGTAGAAAGGCTGCAGAAAGAGTCAGGAGCCCAGAGGAGAGAGCAAAGGAGATGATGGGGTGGGGGCAGAAAGTGGAGACGAAAGCAGACGACAGAGCATTGCTAGAGAGCAGGAAAGGAGGTGAAAGGAGACAATTTTAGAGAAGAAAATTTTCCGGTCGCAACCCTGATTCGTACCCGGGACCTTTGAATGAGAGGCGAACACCTTATCCTCTTGGCCACGAGAGCCCTCACTCCAGACTTTAAAACTTAAGATTTCACAAAATCACCAGAATGTGACTGCATTTTTTCCCCCCTGAAGTCTTCATATATGTATGGGTTGATTTATTTTCCATAATTTTTCTTTACCCAGTGGTTCAGAATCTGGAGACATGCCTTATTTGGCAGTGGGATCAGCTATTTATGGATGTTTGGTCTTACTCAGTGTGGGCCTTTAAGGTACTTGGTTTGATATCTATTTTTGTTTTAATCTATAATGCCATATTATTTGTTCAAGTTGTCCTTCCTGCTACTAAAATGTAAATCTCACAAGTCTTTGATTACTCTTTTGGGATACAGGATATGTCAGTTGTGACTACTGCATCTTAGTTGGGAGAATTTCCTGAGAACGAAGAAGTATAATGCAGTGGCGCCTTCTTTGTTTTTGTATTTTTCTAGATGACACAATATGTGTGTTTGGTTTGATCATGTTAATGTTTATAAAGGCATGCATTTAATGGTCAGTGTCAGTCACATAATGAGTAGCTCCAGCTAAGCAAAGAATGCTGGTCGTGGTTTGAGACTTGATGCAACAAACAGCATGTTCAAGTCTGGGCATAATGCAAGAGTTATACAAGTGGTGGCACAAGAAAACTCTTCCTCTTTGGTCAAAATTTGCAAACTGAGATATGGGCAAATTTTGATTCAGGACGTCTTTATATGCAGAGATGTGTGTGGAAGAGAGGATCTGTGTGGAAGAGTGTGTGGGTATATGGGTGTGCACATATGCATGTAGTGTGCATGTTTGTGTGTGCACGTGTGTGTGTGTGTGTGTACATGATGAAACACCAAACCAATGTGCCAGGATCTGGACAATAAAGATGTATTTCTTCTTATCTTATCATATCTTTCTAAGTAATTTGTACTTTATTTCATTATTTAACTTAACTGGCACGTATGTGGGAAACAGCTTGTGAGAAGCTATGGTTTTCTTGTGCAGCCATACATATGTATTAGTCCTGATCAGAATAACAAATGAGCAAAAAGTAATCCGAGGTTCAAAATGTGTACTAGAAAGTAATTCAACTAATTTTTGTACTAATTGTTTTCTCAAAAGTCTCTTATATACTTGTAATTTATTTAAATTCAAAGTTATGTTTGTTTCCTTCATTTTTTGAAACAATAGAAAATGGTATCATATACAGTTGTTTGTTTTTTCTTAAATACAGATCAATAGTGTTGTTTGAAAACACAGACATTGTGATACTGGCAGGGGCCAGTGCCTTATTTTCTTCTAATGGGGGAGGAGGTCCATCAAAGGTAAGGCTTTAAGTGAACTATGCATGTTAAACAAGCAAAGATTATATTATTTTCAAATGCTGCATTCTTTTACAGTTGCATCCAAATCTTCTCAAATGGGTGAGATCTATTTCTGCATACAGCAGTCCAAAATTGTATTAAAAGCTAACCCCTCTCAGACTTCTTTTTTAAGTGTCTGCTCAGACAGCAGAACAGAATGTCACATAGCTTCTCTTTTTTTCAGTTAGCATCTAGTTTCAAATACTAAAAATATATGTGAGGTGTGCTGACAAAATGAGTTACTTCTCGGATTTTAGCCTAATAGGAATTGATACATCAACTTGATAGGTGGAGTTTATACAATTTGTAAGTATGTAATAATAAAAGACACGGTAGACTTGAGCACAATGGAATCAATTGAAAATCTATAGATCTGACCCCAGTGTGATTTTCAGCCGTAATCTCGATTCCTGGATTGCGAGAAGTAACTCGTTTTGTTAGCATGCCTCACATATTTTATTGCTGCTGTGTTGTTCTATTTGTCTCTTGTCAGTCAAGATACATTATTCAGCTGTTTATGTAGGGTGTGAGAGATTACATAACAATGAAGTTATTTAAACCCGAGCTCATTTTCCTAGCTCAGAAGATAGTGAATTCTATTCTACTTCAGTTTGTAATGCCTTGGGGGGGGGGGGGGGGGGGGGAGTCCCTCCACCTCGAGAACATATGATGTCCATGCAGACATCGCCTCCGCGGGGGGGGGGGGGGGGTAGGGAAGCAGTGGTTGGCCCAATAATTTTTTTAAAAATTATGCTGTTAAAAACAGCTAAAATGACTCATATTCTGAAAATGCTTTTAATGGAAATTCTATAAACATGTCTTTTCACAAACAGGCAAGGGGAGCCATATTCTTTCTTGTTGGGGTGTTGGCCCTCTTAGTTTTTGATCATGATGAGAAACTAAATGTGCTTGGAGATCAGGATGGTAAGACTTTTTTCCTTATATTTCTGAAGATTTGTTAAGAGGCAATACGATAACATGATAATATGGTCCATTCATTTCAGTAGACATTGTGTGGAAGGTTTCATTCATTGTAAGGTAGTATGGGCAGCATCTTTTTTTAAAGAAGGCAACCCACGAATCTCATTTATAGCTGTGTAAAAATCTAGTTGTTATAAAAGACATTTCACTATCTTCTTTAAATTATTAGAAGTTGCTGCTTCACAGTTCTCCTCTATTTAATCATAACAAACAGATCTGAATTCAATTATAAAAAGACCTCCATTTTTATTTTCCACAATTAAGGGTGTAAAGGCGTAAACTGCCTACTCTTTCTAAAATACAAAAATATTTCAAGTATGTAAGGATTTTTCCAGGGCGCACATGATTTCGCCTTCTATTACCAAAAATTGGAAAATTATTGTTTTCTCCTCTTTTCTGCAGGTGAGACCATCCATCATCATACTATCTTTCATCACTTTTTCAAGCATGGTATTGATTTTCTAGGCTGGTCTGATCACAAGGTTTGTAATATTTCCTGCAATAATTCTTCTAAGAAAGAACTCACAAAATTGTTATCTGAAAAGATTTTAAGGTGCTTTGTTTTGGAAGAGATGTTTTAGTCAAGCACAAGGCATTTGCTTGCCAATAGAAAAGTTTATGGTCATGCTTCTTTTTAGAGTCTGGGTTTTTTTTTCTGGTAAAAGATATGTGACCATCACCATGCTAGTTCATGATTTAAGCTCTGCTCTACTTTCGCAAAAATGCCCAACTGCCTAAGTTATTCAGCATACGCCCAAATAAAAAGGCACACACTAGTTTATGCATTGAAAAATACTACAATAATTTTGTATCCTAATGGGATAAGGGGACAGAGGCGGTGTTGAAAAATCACTTGCTGCTGGTTGACTTTTTACAAATTATCTTTTCATTCCTACATCATAGACCATGTACCCGAGCAAGATGCTTACCTTTACTTTTAGAAATGAAGAGTAGCTGGTGGCTACACAAATTCTGCAATAGTCTAATGTAGCCTTGTGTTCCCAGTAAATGCCATTATTTTCAGAAAGTAAATTGCAGAGTATTTACAATTGCAAAGTAGTGTGTTCTCAACTTTTATTTCATTTTCATCAGGATTTTAAAAGACAATCAGCTTTTCTTTTTTTTTTTCTTTTTTTTTTTTTTGGGGGGGGGGGGGATTGTAGGAATATTTACAATCAAAAGGGAAAATGGACTTTTGTTAAAACTATTATTGAAACATAGGAACTAAAATTGTCTTCCCCTTTCGAATAATTGCATATAGTAAAAATTCCCTCTCTGTTTGGTATGTAGGCCTACATTTTACTAAACGAGGCTTTTATAAATAAATGATTCAACTCCTCTCCCTGTTTGTTTTTTCTACCAGGGTGGTGTACTGCTCCTATTTTTCACTCTCTGCTTGAACTGCGGCTACAATTCTGCAGCCAAGAAGTTGTCAGTGGAAGTTGGCGGGGCCAAGAGACTCCACAGTCTGTCCACTGTTGTGTCAACTGCTTTCCTGTGGCCCTGGGCATGTTTTATATTCTTTACAATGGAGGTATGTCATCCCTAACAATATATTTTGTAGATGTTCTGATATTGTTAGGAAAATGCTTGGGTTACTCATAAAATATTTTATTTTATAACAGATTTGGGGTCAACATTTACAGCATGTTTGAATGGTACGCTGTAAATAGGGAATTTACCCTTACTAAATTTTGACCTTTACTTTGGAGAAGTTCCTTACTGTGTAGCTACAATCGCAATTGTCCGCGAGGGCCACCCATTGTAGAGGAGAAAAGTGGTTGTCTTAGACAGGTGGATGTCAATGACAGTGTCATTATTATGTAGAAATAAAAAGCAAGGGAGAAAGTGAAATGTGTTTGTTAGTACGGGTGATTGTCTTGGCCAAGTGGCCTTTAGAATAGGTTCAACTGTAAGTGATTTCTTTTCAGTATCAACCATTAACTCCATAAACATGTTCTTGTCCTTCTCTAGGAGTTAAGGGTTATTATTTAAAGAACAATTTTCCTTTGAGCATTTGAATTGCTTTTCACCATTATGAAATCTAGCCAAGACTTTAGACTGGTAATTTTACCTCAGAGAGGTACGGGTTCAAACTCAGTTAATCTGTTCACAGAAAGATCATTTAAGTCCTTTCATACTGGCACCTATGACATTGTAACTTTAGATATCAATATAATATCACTGCTATTCTGAAAAAAAAATGTTCTAGCATCTTATGCAAGGTTATTTTCTAGGCCGGTGCTAGTCACCTGATCTAGGGTGGCTAGCATTTTGCTACTCAACCGAATTCGGTCGATTAGCCTGACGCTACTGGCCAGTGGGGATTTCTTCGATCTCGGGTGGCTAGCATTTTTCTGCCCATCCAGAGCCGGTCACTTAGATCTAGTCTTAGTCTGAGGTAGCGTAAACACAGCCTCGCTGCCTTCTGAGCTACTTGAAGCTGTTGAGAGCACCTAGCACACCTCTGTGATTGGCCCAAAATAGATCATAGATGATGTTTTTCCGCCATCTATTTTTGTCGTCTTCCGAGGTTTCCCCTAGTTCTTTCACCCTTTATTATTTAATTATTATCATTCATCAGAATGCCAATGACAAAGTTACTAACCATAGAAATGCAGCGTCATGATGTTATCAAAGATTGTCTGACTACTACCAAGATGTTTTAATTGCCCATCTCGCATCCGAACGAGACTTGGGCGCTAGATCTACCTCGTCTTAGCGCATGAGGGCCTGTGGTACGAGTGTAAACAAACGTTCCAGCACTGAGTTGAAAGTGAGAAATTTTGTCTGTGGGCAGAGAGAGAAGGGGGGGGGGGGAGAGAAAGACACACAAAGAGAGAGAGAGTAAGAATGAGAAGGAGAGAGAGAAAGGGGGGGGGAGGGTTGTTATTAGAATTACTGATTCCTGTCGTTTTCTCTCTGCGTCGGTTTACAAGCTGACCCGATGCAATAGTCATTATTGTATATACGCATTATGGCCAGTCCCATCTTCATACATGTATTATAATGTCAATTTGGTCAGTTCATTGCAGTCAGAGTCAAACTTTCACGTAAGAAATGTAACCAGTAACAATCTGACTATTAGATCTATATGAGCCTTTCCTAAAAGTTCGTCTTTCTGAGGTACTAGTCTCTTTGTAGATGTATTCAGGGAGAAAGAATGGAAATCCAATCATATTTGGTGTCAATAGATCCAATGAATGCCACTGATAAACTGGGAGAAAAGTTAGGTAGATGGGACCGAATTCGTTCGCCCGGAACATGCGCAGGTTAATCGACCGAATTCGTTCGAGTAGCAAAACGCTAGCCTCCCCAGATCGGCCGGCTAGCCACTCCATATTTTCGAACAACATTTTTTTTCCATCATTAATCAAGTATGAAGCATTGACTTTCTACCTGCTGCTGTGACACAGAAGGAAATGCATTTGATATCTCCTTGCAGTTTGAGGTTCTAGTTTGAGAGACTTTTTCTTGTACGTCTTGGAATATTTAAGCCTCTCTCCAGCGTTCTCTTATCAGACCTGGGTCTCTGCCCGGGAAATTATGTATTCTGTACTAATGTTAAATAGGGTTTTTAATTTCAAAAGAAAGAAAAGTAATAACAAGCAATAACATGTATGTTTCAGACTGAGGTCCAGTCTTGGTTCTCCGTGTTCTTCCCATTGACTCTAGTCATTCTGTTTGTGGGGGTGTTTGACTTTTACATCGATGGCCTAGCAACCAGTCATCTCCAGCCTTTGAAGGCTGCCTTCCTGGCACCGCTGGCTATATTCAGTGCGGCCATATTTCTCAGCCTTACGTGGACTCACCCCTATGTGACCAGGGTGACCACCATGCACAAGCTTAACGACATTGTCACAGAGGATCATGTCCTGTCTGCTGGAGTCATTTTCAGTGTGTCCGCTTTCCTCTTGGGTAAGCAGTTTTCTTCATTTCTCCTCCTTGGAAAGCATTCTTTCATGCTGCACTTGACAACAGACTTTATTGTTGTCATTTTAAAAAAATTCTCAGATGGCAAGGCAATTTATTATGTACAGTTACGTATTATTTTTGAAGAAAATGTTTGTTTTAATAAATTTATGGTTATAAAATTGCAAATCCTGTAGGGAGACCATTTGGTTTTTCTTGGGTCGTGTCCTTTACCTGATAAGGTTTAAAGAAAATTTGTTTGTCTTCTGCAGGCATGGCTAAATTTATTCACAGAAGGATTCTGCCTTGTGTCTAAGGGCAAGAAAATTGTGATTTGATCATTGAATAGCTTCTTTTAACTATCAATAATGTAATGATTTTGGATGTTGAGAATATTGTAAACCACCCTCTCTGTAACGGTCTGCTTGTATTTATTAGGTCCACTTTATTTAAGTTTTTGGTCAAATTGCAAAAATAAAAATCTAATATTTGAGAAACCATTATATTCCCACTGGGAGTTTTTAGTGTTGAAAGTATCACTTACCATTGCTCATAAATAATTTATCTGTACAATTTCTCCCAGCCACACGTATGTTGATGGCCCGAGACAGAGCAGCAAAAGGCAGTTTTATTGGCTACAACCCTGCAGGCCTTCCACTCTACTCCATTTCAAGTGAAGCCCTTCAAAAGACATCTCAGTCTGTCCTCTCTGTCTTGAGAAATGGGCTGAGACAGATCTTAGACGATGGAGACTCCAGGAAGATTTTCTATTTTCTTTGCATAAATCTGGGTATGTTATTCTGAATTGGAATAAATATATTTCAATGAATGTAGTTATTCTTGATTCTGACACCTTTTTTATGTTTGTACGTATAGTAATATAATATTAAATACACCAAGTGGATGGCAGACAAACTGCATTGTAATTTACGGCAAAATGTATGTTTATTTATTTGACTGCAATAAGGCACAGCCTGACTTAAGACTCAGCATCTTAGATTTTTCGTTGGTTTTAAGTTTCTGTTAATTGTTTTTGTAGGGTTATATTTGTCTCACTGATATATCTGTTGCTCAAAATGTACATAAAATCTTTTATATTGTGACAGTATTCATATAAAGAATAGATGACCTTTTTAATAAGATTATTCTGAATTAAACTAGTACAGATTTGTACCAGCATAACACTAAGATATGATGGTGTGTTTGTTTCATCTTGTCCCCCAGTTGAACAGACTTGTCTTTTCATTCTTGTTTAGGTTTTACATTTGTGGAGCTTCTGTATGGTGTGTGGACCAATAGCTTGGGTTTGATTTCTGACGGATTCCACATGCTTTTTGATTGTTCTGCGTTGGTGATGGGTCTCTATGCCTCCATCATGGTGAGATGGAAAGCCACCAGAATATTTTCATACGGGTAAGCTTGGCACCATAACATCTGTTTTAAGAATAAAAGAAACCAATTACGCATTGAAATTCATTATGCTGCATCAACTTCACTGGTTTCATTCTCTGTAATGCAGTTTGTCATTGAGGAAAATGTTGGGGGGGGTGCTTTTAAAAAAAATGTCTATAGAAAATATGATAAGCATTGTTCAATTAACACATTACATCCTAACTCGCCCGGGACCGCCCGTGAATTCCCTTACGCACTCCACCCTGACTCGCCCGGAACCGCCCACGCTGACCTGGCGTCTTTAGAAACGAAGTTCTGCCTTGACGAGACTCTGGGGCAGAGATTTTGATTTGCATAGTTACTGCAAAAAGTTTCTTCTTTCGTTTGATATCGAAACGAAATTTTTCGGGCCAGTAGTTTTAGTATCAGAGCCGATCAAAGTACGATCGCGTTGCCGACACTTCGAAGGTGTCTCGACTTGTTGAAAAGCGACACAATTGAGTTTGAAAAAGGAATTAACAATGGATTTGAGCAAAAACAAGCATGTGACAGATCAGATGACTCAGATTTTGATGAAAACGTTGTAGCAAGAGTTTGGGGCGATTCAGATTGATCAGACGTAGAAAATCTAGAATTTAGATCTAGGGTCCGACCGCGAGGCTGAGAGTGAGAGTGGCGGGTCGAACACCCCAATTGAACTAAAGTTAGAACATTTCCAACAGTTTGCGTATACATAAAATTATATTTTTCTGAAACTACATTCACTTTTTTTTTTTTAGCTTTTTTTTCTCAGGATTTTTGGAATTTGTTTTGTATTTTTAAAATGTGTTTTTTTTTAACGTTTGTATTCACGGGAGGTGGGTTCCTTCCCCTTGCTTAGGATCTAACAATGGACTTCCCGCCCAGGCCCTTAGGGTGTAATGTGTTAAGAGAAAGTGGAAGATTTGCATTTGATTTTCTCAGATCAACTTGTAAAAGTATATTGCTGTTTGAGCTTCTCAGTACGACATTCTTACCGAGTGCTTGATGACTGTGTAAAGGTTCGTTGGTAATTATCATCTAAGTTACAATGCAGTTGGAAAATAGAACAGTATCTTGGAAAAAACAAAAACATACTAATGTACAAAATCAAACAGCCTAATATCTTGATGTTTTGTTTACGTCTTATTTCGTCCTCAGATATGATCGTGTGGAAGTGCTGTCGGGTTTTATCAATGGCCTATTCCTGGTGGTCATTTCTTTCTTTGTCTTCAGTGAAGCTTTTGGGCGGCTCTTTGAACCCCCAGAAGTAAAGACAGAGAAACTACTGGTACGCTCATCTATATATATTTTATTTGTGAAAATTGATCACTTTGGTCGCCTAAAACTTCCGAACCACTTAACTTTCGAATTTGAGAAAATTAACAATGGTTCAGAATCATTTAGAGGGTGCACAGTTATATTAAGGAGTCTGAAGTCACTGTAGTGTAATTTTCAGTTTTTCCTTAGTTTCGTTTAGAGCTAATCTTGGGAAAGTCCATCTTCTAAGACGCCATTGTAAACAAGTGAGCTTCCGTTCACAAGCAGTGGGCACTGATTCCACAATGACTTGACAACGGATTCTTTTGGTCCGTTCATCGAAGGGGTACCCAGCTGGTGCATTTTTAACTATATTGTGCTGTTTCTTTATGTCTGTTTGTTGGTCACTTCGTGTTTATTTGTATGTACATTATGTTATACAGTAGTGTATAATGTGAGGGATGGGTAGGTGTGTGTGTTCGCGCCCATATGAGCACACACACTCACCTACTTACACAAAGACACTTACACACACACACACACACACACACACACATACAAATACATGTACCTCTCTTATTCGTTGGCCTTTGCATTGATATAGCCAGTATATATTGTTTGGAGTTGACCTGGTTATTATGAACAAAATGGCTGGTCTTCAAATTGTGGACATTGAACAGAAACACAGGCGTTTTCTCCTGACAGCACAACACAGATCGGCTGTTGTTTAGAGAGGAGCTGTTACAATAAAATTTCAGATGTGTTGGGTTTTTGGGGTTGGTTTTTTTTTGGGGGGAGGGGGGGTCACAAACTTTGCATATAATTTTTTTTTCTTCTCGTATTGTAAACTGTGTAATCTGAGTTGTATATAATTTGCAAATATTTTATTTTGAATTAACAATCTTAATCTTTAAATGTGAATGTTGCAACAAGAATGGGATAAGTGCCCTTTATTGTCTTTAAACAGATACAGTGCTGGTGTCATAATTCCTCCAAGACACTACCCTAATGATAGTCTTTTTTTGTTTTTTTAGAATTGCCTTTTTTTAATATACATTGTAGTGCAATTGTTTGTGTTTACTCAAATATACACATAAGCAGACTGGCTAATATTTTTACATACATAAATGTATTAGCATTATTCACACAGGTGCACAGAGTCTTTGTTTCATAGTATTGTATTTATGCCTTTTTCCTCTTTTTCATTTGTTTCAGACTGTTTCAGTACTTGGGCTTCTAGTCAATCTGGTAGGAATATTTGCATTTCAAGGTCATGGCCACAGCCATGGTGGTGGTCATGGTCACAGTCATGGTGGAGGTCACGGCCATAGCCATGGCGGAGGTCATGGCCATAGTCATGGTGGGGGTCACAGCCATGGTGGAGGTCATGGCCACAGTCATGGTGGAGGTCATGGCCACAGCCATGGCACATCTTCGTCTGAGCCTGCCTCATCTTCTGGGGGTTCACACAGTCATGCTCATCACAACACCAACATGGAAGGTACAAATGTTTTCTTTTTGTTTTCATGTGACTTTAGAGGGTTTTTAGTGAATATTTCAGGTTTTACACGGACAATGAATAACTTATATTGGCTTAAAAGTTGTTGGAACTTCTGGAGTACTCTTGAAAGGGAAGTGTTGAACGCATAAGATCATTACATGATTTTCACTAACGTTTCATTGCAACATGAGAGTTTCTGTAAGGGTGGCCATTGTAAATCTTGTTGCTGTTATGCTCCTCCACGTAAATGGAACTGTTGTGTCTTGTTTAAACTTTTTTTGTTTCCTTCTAGAAGTTATCAGTGAGGAGCAGTAAGAGAGAAAAAAATGGTGGGGGATGGAGGATTTAGAGGATTTCTGTGCATCAATATTGCAATTGCCAAAGTGAAATGTTTGTGATTACAATTTTATTTCAAAATGTATGTTGTACATGCTTAATATCTTACATTTACCTCAGTGATTTTTTAAATACCCCTGCGAATACTCTTAACCCTATCCATATGTTGTGTTTTACTATCATATCCTTTCGACGTGGGGAACTCTGTGCCACCACTTTCCAAAGAGGACATTTACTCGTTAATCCTATCCGTACGCTTTGCATAGCAGTCTGTCAAAATGATTTTTTGAGAAATACTGAAAGTTTCAAAGAGATCTTCGCACTAGAAGTATTCTAAAATATGAAGAATACAACCCCGGGGGTACAAAATGACCCCAGGGCGTACGGATAGGGTTCAGTAAATTTGGAAGGACCTGGCCTTTGTATTGATTTTAAGTTAAATTCACTTTAAATGGTGGATGGCGGATGGGAAGGCAAACAATAGAATTGAGAATATGACTTTTACTTAGTTAATGAAAGGTTTATGTTTTATGTGAAGTTATAAGCCATCTTTGCTGCGTGTAAATATTGTGAATTAATTTTTATGTATAGACCTTCAATATTTACTTCTTCTGTGTGTTCTCAAAGGTGTGTTCCTTCATGTGGTGGCTGATACCATGGGCAGCGTCGGAGTCATCATCTCTACGCTTTTGATTGAACACTTTGGTTGGAACATTGCGGATCCCATCTGCTCCCTGTTTATAGCAGCATTAATATTCTTAAGTGTTATACCTTTGCTGAGAGAGACTGCTGTGATCCTGCTCCTGAGATCTCCTCAACAGATTGAAAGTTCCCTCAGCTCAGCATTAGATAAGGTGAGATGAATGATGTGAATTCCCTGAGACAAAATTTGCCATGATACGGAATTTTCAAACTTTTTCTGTCACTTTCCACCTTAGTGCTGGGAAAGCGAGGAGGTGGAGCAAGGGTCCAATAACCTCACCATTCTTTGACACAGTGTGCTGTATATAGTTTGTCATCTGTTACAGGTGCGCCATTAGTTCTGTTGGTACCATGCTGGACTGTGATACAGATGAACAATTTCAAAGGCTATACTACTGCTATGGGGTGTCAACCGTAATGGTGCAATGGGACAGAGTTAAGGGAATAACATAAAGAAGCAAAATATTTTCTTTGCTGTCAGACTGCCTTTTTTCACTCATACATTTTTACACAAGAGTACTCATTTTTAGTTTTGTAGTTTTATTAGGAATTTGCACTTGGTCTGTGAAAACTATGAAATATACTGAAACTTGAGTCAAACTTTCTCTAATACCTCTGACGGTGTCCTGTATAAGACAATCGCTTGAACAAATGGCCACTTCCTATTTCCTTCCTTTGTGGGTTTTTTAAACATTATATTGACACTGTGTGACGTCCACCTGTCTAAGATGGCCACTTTTCTCCTCGACTATGGCTGGCTGTTTTAGACAATTTTACTGTATTCTGAATGAATTAAACAAGAGCAGCCAAAAGATAGTGTCTCTTACTAGAGTGTTTTTCATTCTTCGTTCTTGGGGGTTTTTTTGTTTGGTTTTTTTGGATGAACATTTAGTGCTGGCAGTTATTTTTTTTAGAGCTAAAAGTAACATAACAAATTTTATTGAAACCAAAGCTAGAGTTGTTTTTTTAAATACATGTTTAGCGCCTTATTTTGACCTGGTGTTCCAATATATACAATATACGCCACCAACGAAGACATAAATCAGGCTGAAAACAGTGTCCAAGCAGCCATAAACTTACTTGAGCAGTGGGCAAAGCAAAACAAGATGGAGATCAGTACGGAGAAAACAGAGTGCACCCTCTTCACCACCAGCACCCACGAGGCCAAGCGAAAACCAACACTCTCACTCAAAGGCGCCCCCATCACCTTCAACTCCAACCCCACCTTACTTGGGGTTACACTTGATCGTACTCTATCCTCCAACGCCCACATCCAAAACCTTGAGTTAAAACTGTCCAGCAGACTTCGACCATTGAAAGCCCTTACAGGCACCACCTGGGGTGCCTCCAGGGAATGCATAAAGCCTATATATTATGCTACTTGTCGGTCAGCTATCGACTATTGTGCCCCTGCCTACATGCCTCTTGCCAAACCCTCCAATCTGCAGAAACTGGAAAGAAAGCAGAATGAAGCAGCAAGAATCATCACAGGCTGCTCAAGGGATACTCGTGTGGACAGCCTCCTCATCGAAGCAGACATTTTACCACTAAGGCATAGAGCTGATGCCTTGACTGCCATCTCATTCGAGAAGTCCATGCGTCTGCCTACAACGAACCAACGCAAAGCCTCCGCAACAAAATCAGTGCCCACGCGGACAGGCAAGTCGAACTGGAGAAAGCATGCCCAGAACCTCGTAGCCGAAACTGAACTGGATACGTACCCACGTGAGGAGCTGGTTGTTTTACCCCCCACACAACCGTGGAAGGCTGCATCATACAACGTGACTTTTAGCACCGATCTTGTCGCCGACTGCAAACGTGCTAATGAACCAGCTGTCAGGAAAGCAGCAGCAGAGGCTACAATTCGTTCGCTCCCCCTGCCCGATGTAGAAGTCTGGACTGACGGTTCAGCTGAGCACGGTACTGAGTATGGAGGAAGTGGAATACTGATCAAGACCGGCGATACCGAACTCGACCAACGTGTACCTGCGGGCCGGTATTGTTCCAGCTACAGGGCCGAGCTTGTAGCTCTCGACACAGCGCTTGACATGCTTGTGGCACTACATACAGCAGGCAGCCTTCCGAACAGTGCACGCATCCATGTATACACTGATTCTAGATCAGCAGTCATGCGCCTCTCATACGGCCCTACCAACCAATCGGAAAAGGTGGCCTGCTCAATCTGGCAACATCTGCACACCCTCTGTCAACGCTCTGAATGTTCCATCCACTTACAGTGGATTCCAGGCCACGCCGGACTGGCTGGGAACGAGGAAGTTGACAGCATCGCCAAAGAAGCAACAGCGCTTACCCAGATTGACACGCCAATCGATTTCTCGACAGCTAAAGCCGTCATCCACCGATCGACCCGCGCAAAGTGGAAAAGAGAGGCGAAACCCAAACTGCCGTTTGCCCAGCCGCCGTCATTCCAGCTTGAGGCCTCGCTCAGACGACAGGACCGCCGGCTTCTCTCCCAAATGAGAACTGGTGGAAAATCGCCCAAGCTGAGATCATATCTCCACAAAATTGCGCCAGCAGACAACCCAGATCCGTCCTGTCGAGCCTGCAAGGAGGAGGACGAAACTATGGACCATGTGTTCCTGAGGTGTCCCGCCAGCTATCGTGCTAGAACCCGTCTGCTGGGACATTTCAGTAACCCACTTTCAGCACTTTTTAAGGACCCCCGGGCGAGTGTTGAGTTCCTGCGTGCTGTCGGCATCGCTGACCGCTTATGAAGCCACAGCGCCAGAAGAGAGAGAGAGAGAGAGACAAGAATACCCATTCCATTATTATAAAATGGACATCAGTCTAAGACATGAACTAATCCACAGAAATAAGTAGTCTTGAAATTGATTTAAGTAGACGGAAAATGATTCCAGCAGATAAAAGATTATTCCAATTATTTTTTTACACAAGATGGGTATGACATTTGCTTAAAGTTTCTTTTTCCAACTTTGAAAGATCTTACACTAACAGGAAATATATATATATATATATATATATATATATATATATATATATATATATCTTCCCCCCTATTTGTTTTATTCTGCATATCATTTGTATCAACAACAAAATTATCATACTGGGAATAGCACATTTTTCCTTTTTAGTAAGTCAATGAAGATCTAATGATGCTGGATGGAGAACAGCATATGCATGTGTGGGAATTATTTAGACTTATACCTCTGTGATCTTTCAAGAACTTTTTTTAGTCTTGGTGCCTCACAAATGAATTTTAAATTTTATTCCATATCTGTGTGTGCTTGTTACTAATGGAAAATTACCTTTTGACTCTTTGATTAATAAATTGCTGTGCAGGGCTATTCAAATCTGTTAATATTATTCGCATTTATTGATGTATATATGTATGTTCATACTTGATGTTGTTTAGCTTTGGTACAGTTTATACTTTGTAGCGAAAATTGTGTCCAAAGTATTCAAACAAAAATATTTTGATGCTCAAATTGTTTTTAACAGTTTTCTTCAAGTACTATTCTTTTCACTCTTCTTTAGATACTAACGATTGAAGGGGTGTTGTCGTATCGAGAACCTCATTACTGGTCACACACTGCCAGCAAAGTGCATGGCATGGTGCACCTACAAGTTTGGCCTCAAGCTCAGGAGCAGAGAATTATAGCACAGGTACCACTTCAGCTTTCAGTATTGCCTGTTTTGTGTGAGTTGTTTACAGGCCGAAGGGCTAGAACTCAGATGGCCGCTGGATCGGAAAAATAAAAGTAAAGTGTGAGTTGTTTGGGAAATGTGAAAGCTGTGATATAGGGTAATAAAGTACCTTGTAAGTGATGGTATGTTTTGTGCAGTAACCATGTTGCATAAAACAGTCAACAGTTGGGAGTTTTCACTCTGTTAAGATAATAAATTTGTTATTTGTCCATGATGAACGACATTTGTTGTCTTGTGCGAATTCCTGAATTAAAATTTTTTAATTTCTGATATTCCACTGTACTGTAGGTCTGTACTTTTCTGATACTGTTATTTTTGTAGTTTTAGGTGTTAGAGTGGGAGTTGGAGTAGATAGGTTTGTTTTCAAGCTTTATGTCATCATACTCTTTAACTCACTTAAGACGGTTCACACAACAGTTGTGTGACCCCTGCCGCGACGCTCGAGACGGTTCCCACGAGCCCTGCGTGACCAACTTTAGAATTTTTTTTTCGCTCTACAAATCACGCACGAATCGCCTGGCCCGCCTCATACCCTTGTTTGGCCAAGCCTGAGCTACTTAGACTTCGTTTCGTATCTCTGGGGCCCGTAGTTTTTAAGTTATTGAAGGTGAAGGACAGTGACCCGAACTTGGGTTGAACTGACCGGAATTCGCGCTTTGTTTTTTTCTATACAGCTGATAGTAATCCGACAGTCACGTCGTAGTAATGGTCAAAGAAGTCGCATGAACAAGAATCACATAATTTCGCCGTTTTCGATACTTCTGTACTTTTACTAGTTCTAGTGTCTCAGAATATGATGTGTGTAATAGTTAGGATCCTGGATATGTACCCGAACACGGCCCGAGTCGTAGTTTTAGGGCTAGATCTAGCACTACTACTGGTGTTGTTGTTCGCGCAACGAAATCACAACGTTGTGCCGTACATCTGTCTCATGTAATTCAGTGCATGGGTCTGAATCAACGCACAGACCAGCTTTTATATTTTCACCAAACACTCACACATGCATACAAATCAAAATACTACACTTCGAACTTTTATTTTTGTTGTTGTTGTGAATTTCGTTCTACCTGTCATGTCTCTGGAAATTTTTCGGAAAATCAAATTCATGTCAATTTTTAAAAAATCATACAAATTAAAGTATTAGACTAAGACAACTTTAGTTTTTTGTGTTAGATTAACTCATTCGCTACGCCGAGCCGTGGGGGGCGGCGCGGCTCAGGTGCCGTCAGTACGTTAAGCCGCCCCCGGCGGCTTGAGAACCGACGTTCAATTTTAGCTTGGTTTCTATTCCAATCCGCTTATCCATATTAAAATAAAGGTCATAATATAATGTTGACTTCCGGGTCAAGCGTTTCCACCGAAAATCAGAAGTTTGATTCAGTTTTGAAACATGATTTCGTAGTTTATTCGACTTTGTTTTATCGCGAAGCCCAAATTATAGCCCAGACACCAGTCTTAGTACTTTTACACAACAAAATGTATAATTATTTTGTTATGGAATGTATGTAAATAACTGCACATTTTTCAATATTTTCCTGTTCTATATACAGTTATGGTTATTTTGAGGTATCATTTGACTAGGTGCAAACATGTTTTTTTAGTTTCACCTGAGATTATAAATTTTTTATTTTCCAATTTTATCCGCATCAAATCACAATTGTGTTGCATAATCGCCTCTTACAGGAACCAAAGTTGAAAAATACGCAAATAAATAATGCAGGTGTATTCTACAAACCATACTGAAAATGTTGGTATATAATATGTTGATATTTATTTGAATTTATGGCCCCAAAGACCTGTGAACTGCGCACTAGTCATCATCTCATTTCGCCCTCCAGAAAAGAATTCGTCCACAAGCCGAAAATAATACGTAGCGAATGAGTTAAGCTTGTGTCAAAAAATAATTACAATAGGGTAATTCTGAGAGTTGTGGTGATTTATTGAAATACTTCGAAAAACGCCAGTCTTCAACGCTTGTGACTGGTGAAAGGGTCCAGTAGTAAGTGAGTTAATGAAACGGCCATTTATGGCTTTAAAAAAAAATCTATTCCTTGTTTTGCAGGCTACATCAATCTTCAAAGAGGCTGGAGTGTCGAATATGACAGTTCAAGTGGAGAAGCAGTCTTACTTTTTCCACCTGTCTGGTCTGGGAGCAAGTCCAGTCAACATCGCCCAGTTTGCTCAACAGCCTCATCTTAGATCTGTGGATGATCCTCTCAGTGTGAAAGCTGTATAATTTATGAACTTATTAGCCTTCTGTGTGAACTCCTGCTGAGTGAAGACTGTCTCAAAAGTTGAGGAGTGTGTACAGGCTTGTGTTTGGACTATGGCAGTGATAGTGATATAATTGGTGTTGGGATACTTTTTCTTTGTTTTGTACATGAAAAACAGCATGAATGAGCAAAAGTAGTTTCTATGCTTCCTCATTTAGAAAGGCAAAGTAGGACGAACATACTTATTGGCTTTTCTGTTGTTCGGGAAACACAGAATGATGTGCGGTATCCCTCTTCCCTGTCTTTCTCATTCTTTATTCTGGCTTGTGTTATGTATGTCCATTTACATTTCATTAGCTTACTGTTGAGATACTGTATGGTGGAAATTCTATCTCTCTTTTTTTTTCTTATTTAATACTCTTTTTCACAGACAAATTTTGTGAAGTTTTGGAGATCAAATTCAGAGTCAAGTGTGCTGGGAACTGTGAAAGATTCAGTGATATCTGAATTAGAATTCAATATGTCGTAAGAGACGTTCGAAGGCAGTCATTGTGTGAATGCTAAAGGTTGATAGGAGATCTGAGTAAAAAAATACCCTTTGTGTATAGCAAACAAATTATTGTGATTTCTTCATATCATATTGCTATTGTAAAATGTATTTTTTTCTTTAAAATGCTTTTGTTCTGTATTTTACTTTTCAGGAAGAGAAACATATATTATATTTTGAAGCTGAAATCTGAATTGTTTCAATGTCATATGTGCCCATTTCATCAATGTTATGTTCTATTTTAGGGTGTATAAAGATAGAAAATGACAGCGTAAAAATGTTGAAAGGTGAAGGTGGACAAGTTTTGAAAAAATGTGTCATGTTTAAATTCTGTTCAAAAACGCCTGCTTATTTTACAGTTCAGATTTCTTTCTTTTTTTGAGGAAATTAGCTGTTCCCATACAGCCGCACACAGGATTACTTTACCATGAAGGGTAATGTTAGATAGTCAATGGCCTCCCAGTTTAAAAACAGTCGGGCTTTGATTAAAAAGCAGTGGGACTAATGGCTGTACTATGTCCAATGTTGGGTCCCTGAAAAAGTCAGGATAACTGTGCACTTAGACCAAAGATCCGTGACCGTCCATCACACGGGCACACCAATTCAATTCTTATATCTCGCTTGTTAGTGTTCAGACTGAAGTTATGTCTCCACACATTAAAGGGAGTTGATAGATTAACGGTCTCAAGTCCATCTTGTTTGCTCTACAGCGGTTATAAAATTTCTTCCATCAAGTTCTGTAAATTAGGGCAAGTCGAGCCAGGCTAATTTTTCAAACACAATTTTTGTTGAAATGGTTAAATCTGAAATCATATACATACTCTTGGTCAAATTTTGTTGTGAAAACATACTAAATATTATAGATTCCTGAGAAAATACAAAAATAGACCAGCAATATGGCTTCAGTTTGCTCCTGGTGAAAAGGCACTCTGATAAAAAGACACATGTTGTGGTATGAATATGAGGTCCCTAGTCAGTTACCATCACTTAAACGGACGGACAGACACAGGCTTTTTGTCTGAATGTGCCTTAAGCCATTTCTACAGACTTTTTCAGCCTCAAGGAAATCTACTTTGTGTGTAAATCTATGCATGTACCTGTGACCTGACAATCAAAAAGGAATGATTAATTGTCTAAAGTTCAGTTGGACGCAATCGTGTTGTTGCAATTTACAGTATGTGATTCACAGTTGTGTTAAGTCTGTTTTATGTGTGTTTAATGAAAGAGGGGAATTGGTGGACTCTGTCTACTCTTCACCTCATGATAAGAATCATGTAAAACTGGGAAGCCATAGATGTCTAATTTGTGTAACCTGTTTTGGTCATTACTCTTTCTTTGGCAGTAAATAGGTCTGAGTTTGGCAGCTGTTATGCTTTTAAGCAATGACAAATGGCATTTTGATAAGTTAAAACAGGGTTTATAAGTGCTGGTGGCAAGAATGGTACTCTTTTCCATTTAATGCTCCGCATTGAAAAATCTTGCGGGGGGGGGGGGGGGGATGCTGTATGTTGTCATAATGCTAAAGTACTTGTGATCTTGCTCTCAACTTACCCATCTTTGTTTAAATCACTAATACTTTCAGTAATTTGTGACATGTTATGAAACATTATTTTTCTCACTGTGTATCAGTATATTCATTGTAAATTTTTCTTCGCTCAGAATAGAAAAAGGTACATGTTTATTGTTTCTTTTTGACAATACCTCTCTTGCAGTTTAATGAATACATGTCAATGCCCTGGACGTTAACACTTAGAATAATACTCTAACTGGTGGGTCTAAACATGCGTTTGACTATATTTTTGTCAGAAGTACTGTTGGATTTGGTCAGATAGTGCACTGTTATGTTTAAAGAGCAGTAAGCAAAGATATATTCTTTATGGAAAGCTCATTGTAGGGGAACTTTTTATCTTTTTTGGTTTAGTCAAGGATGTGTCTTAGTTCATATTATAAAGCCATGTGAGCTTTTGGTTAGAGGGGTTCTTGGCTATAAGTTTACACTTTGACTTATGATTTAACCAGTGTAGTGTGATATGGGTGGCCATTAGCCTTGAATATAAAGACAGCTTTTTATTCTGCTCAGAAATGAACATCGACAGAAAAAAACTCGCACAAAAAGTCAAGGAACAAAAATTCAAAGAAAGATAACTGAAGAACAGTTTATTCATTTTTTCAAAAAAAGATGCTTTCGACTCTCTAGATTAAGTGTGTACAATTTCAGATTTCAACAACAACGAGAAGTTCATGTAAAATGAGTTTAAGTCACACTGGTCGGATTTCAAAAGTCTGAACAGCTATAATTCTTCATGAACATTGTCAATAGTGGGTGTAGCCTCTCCGTTTGATCAAACACTTGGCACAGCGTCGACGCATGGACAGGACATGCCTTCCGAGAACTTGCTGCGGTAGGTTTTGCCACTCCTGGTTGAAGCAGCCCAAGAGTTGTTACAGGTTTTGTGCAGGAGGGTGTTTGACCCTTATCCATCGGTCAATGTGATCCCAAATGTTCTCTCTTGGGTTCAAATCCGGACTACAAGCTGGTCAGTCCATGCGAGTGACAGCTCGCTGCTGCAGGGAGTCCCCCACGATGCGTGCACGATGTGGCGTGGCGTTGTCGATCTGCAGTACAGCCTAGGGTCCTATCTGCTGTAGGAGAGGAACAGCAAGGGGACGTAGGATTTCCTCCCTGTACCTTGCCGCGGTCAAATTGACCTGTAAAATATGGTACAGAAGCCTCCCCACACCAGAACGGACCCTCCGTCGTAGGGCACCACCTCCTGGATGCAGCCAGGGTGGAACAGCTCTTCTCGGCGCCTCCAGACGTGAGCTCGCCTGTCTGGATGCAACAGGTTGAATCTGGATTTGTCAGAGAAGACTACCTGGTCCCACTGACATTGTGTCCACTATGAATGCCGAGCAAACCACACCCGGTGAGCTGCTTTGTGGGGAGGCGTGTGCCTTGGGCGCCTGGCAGGGACACGAGAAGCGAACCTGGTTCTACGACTACGGTTCCTTACCGTCTCCTCGCTCTCGTGAACTGACTGTCACCCATAGTTGGTCCCGGATGCCGTTCGCAGTGATGTTTCATGATGTCACAGCCTGTCTGACAATGAACCGGTCGATGCTGTCGTTGGTTGAACGGGGCGGCCCTGGTCGAGGCCTGTCCTGGACCCTTCTGGTTGCTCGCCATCGTTCTTGCAGCCTCTATATGACTGATGGGGACAACCCAAGTTGATGTGCAACGACTGGGAACTTGGAGCCAAGCAAGGGCTCGTCCTCTGTCGATATCAGGCAGCGAGCGTTGTTGGACCATCGTGTTGTAATGAAACATGGCTGAAAAACGCTGGCTTATAAAGGGTTGTAAGTGAGCAATATTCACAGCTAAGACATATGTTTAGCACGTGCCAAGCTTAGTTTTTGCTAACAGTCCCTATGCCCATGTTGCTGAGTCTGAGAAATCTAGCCCATTTATTATGCTTTTCGGCTTTGTTTCAGAATACCCTGCACCGTCGTTGTGAAGCTGATGCGGGCAAATTTGCCGTACAGGCAAACTGTCTAGTCGTCAGTGCGTGTGCCAAGTTTGGTTTAACGGGTTTGTGAGATATTGAAGTTTAAATTTGACAAATGAAAATACAAGTTGTTCCTTGACTTTTTTGGGCAAGTTTAGCTATCAAAATTTTTATTAAGAATTGATTTGCTTTTGCTTTTGAGAACCCACTAGGAAAAGATCACATTTATTATTGCAAGTCTCTGCCTTGTGAGCTGTTTTGCTTTGGTGCTTCCTGTATATGGCCATATTGTCCAGTGATTAATTATTAATAAGATAGAAGTTACTTGTTCATGTAGATAATAATAGTGTGTTGAAAAGAGATTTGTGTATTTGTAATTGTTCATATTTGTAAAATGATTTGCAATAAGGTGACTGAACCTTTGAAAAGTACAAATGTGTTCTTGTGATAGAAATTCATTTTCTTGTTACGTTTGCATCATAAATGAAAGTGTCAGTTCGGTAAACTGTTAATATTGAGTAAGGACAGGTATGTTATACTCGTGTCTTGTATACCAATCCTATTCAAAAGTAACCTTGAAAACTTCGCAAGTACCCACAGCTATGTCTTTGACTGTTGGATAATTGTAAGATTGATGTTCAACTTACTTGTCAACTGTATATTCTTCTTTGGTCCTTGCTAAGAGAACTATAATCATTGGTTTAATGATTTTGATCTCCGCCCTGCACTTTAATTATGTACATTCATTCCCTCAATGGAAGGAATTTTATCAAGTGTCTCGTTCTTTCTGCTCAGGATCAAAGCACCCACCGTTTACATGATCAATACTATAGTGTGTTGTTGAGGTGGTAGAACTTTTACAATCATGCCTAGAGGAGTGCAGTGTATTAGATTAGGTGTTTAAAAATGTATGAGACGTCGCTTTTAGCTGTTTTACAGAAATATTTTTATTGGGAACACTGTTGTCTGTGTCATATGAAATCTGATCATTTTCAGTATTTGGTCTGAGGATGTTGTTGTAAGCTTGAACGAGATCTGGTTTCTAGAATGCTCTTCTTTTAATCATTTAATATGACAGATTGCAATTGAATTGCTGACGACCTTTCTACATTGCATCTTAGTTTCTCTTAGGGTAGGATAACAAAATTTTTTAATTTCCTTAACAGAATTTACACTGACTGCCATGATATAAAGAGATGGATATGTCATACTCTTACTCCTACTGAATTGTACAAGATACTCATATTAATTTTGTTGACATATTTTTTGTACAGATTTTATGAGGACCAAAGATTTGCTTCCTAACACACAATTTGAACTGTAATGATAAATTTATTTAAAGACAAATGCTGCCCTTGATTTTCATGTAATGTTGTTCCTAGAACCATGATTTGTGTAAAGATCAATGTTCACATTGCTGTCTTTGAACAGAATACATGCATTAGGTCTTTTCTTTCACACATGAACAAGTTGATATTTGTATACTACATATCGTAGCTGTCACATGAAAAATGAAAATTACTCACCCTGTAATGCTTTTTCTAGCGACAACAGCTATATGAGTATATTGATTTTTAGGTTATCTGAATGGCTCTCTGGAGTTATACTAACTTTATGTTGTATACTTCTATATTTTCTTTCTCCTCTAACATGTGTGATTGAGATTTTGTTTTTTAAATGTGTGCTTCCTGCCTGAACAGAATAAAAATGTCATTTGTATAAATGCCTACTTATGGGAACGTTTTGTTCTCAATATTGTTAACAGACATGAATGGAGTTTTTTCAAGGTTTGTTTGTTAGTATCAATATCTTGTTTTAGTTTGTTATTTTTTTTTGTTTTGTGTTTTCACTTTTCAGACATTAATACTTAATAAAACCTTGTTTTCTTCTTACTCTTTTTCAATCCCACATGAAATTGCTCACCTAGAAAAGTGAATTCCCCTTGTAGGTTAACTTTCTACTCCCACTGGTCAGTATGGTATGGCAATGTGGAAGATTGGAAGGAGAGGGGGGGGGGGGGGGGGGGGGGGGGGGGTCCAGTGAAACAGAGAAACGTATATGTTAAAATGATTGATTACAGACTGTGTTTTTCTACTCTGTACATGAAATTTAGAGCAAGCAATTTATGTGAATTGCTCTTGTGTCAACACTGCAACTAATTAATTTGGACTGAGAGTACACATTAGTGACTGGCAGTTCAGTGAGTGACTGGCTAGCCACGACCATGACTGACATCTTTGTAAGAAAAATTGTAGCCGTCTTTAGAATTGAAACAATTTTGTTCTGACAAAAGAACTAAGAAATTGTTAACCTTAGTCTGGGAAATGTTTTGTGAACCTGGAAACATGGGTTTGATTTACTGAAAGATGGACAGGTTTTCTTAAAGGCATTTGTAAGTATTCGCTTTGCTTGAGGTAAAGGAGTCCTACTGGGAGACAAGTTCACTCATCAGTGGTCACCAAGGTGTTGAACTAAGATATTGATCAAGATTTATGCATATTTATTTTTATTAGTTATAACTTATTAGTCCATTGTGTTGTTTTGAAATGTTTATTGCTGTGACAAAGAACTTAACTAGTTGTGGTAGAATGAACAATTTCAAGTATGTTATCATAATTGTGAGGCTTCATGGTGAAATCAAGCGCTCGTCAAAATAATGAAATCCCGGAAATTTGCATTTTTCGGCCAGTTTGGGCATTTTTTTCGAATTTTTGTTTTTTGGCTCAACATTCAAAAACACTTTCATGTGTGGATTTTATGGACAAACGTTAATTAAAGGCACAAAAAATGTAAATTTGCAGTTTCCAAGGACTCTAAACCCATTTCCACCTGAGTTGCGCCCATGAGCAGATACACCCACCTGGCCTGCCTCCACCACACCCGCAAATTTAGGTACCCACTCTAAAACTACAACAACTTTCCCTCCAAACAGCTATAAGATTAGTGGGCACTAAGCGTACGGAAGTGCATGAAGGCTTACTCTAAAGTAGTTTTAATTAAAACTTGGTAACGGTGGACTGGAGCAAGTTTTATAGAGACATAGAGGGATTCGAATTTTCTCGTAGTCAGGTGGCTGCCTGGATACAAGTATTCTCGTAGGCCGTCAGCAGTGAGTTATGCTATGGAAGTCACCAAACTTTGGCAGCCAGTTTCTCGCTAATTTTACCTCTGAAACCAGGCGACCCTGACCTTCTTCAATCGCAAATATTTTGACTTCTATTCAACATAGATGGATTTTTTTTCACCAAAAGGAAGGCAAATGAACAGTTAAGATGACACCGATAACTCCATATATGGATGCCCAAAAATTGACGAACGCCTGATTCCACTACGTCATGACACAATTATAGTTACAGCATCTAGGAAAAGGATCTGTATGACTGTCAGTTAGAGACTATCCCCCCAGAAAAAAATTGCTAGGGCAATAACTGGTCATAGCATTAGAAAGGCAAAACTGTTTTTTGTGAGTTTTGTTTGTTTGTTTTCCTGGGGGCCTCTTGTCTAGCTGCTGGATGAATTTGATGTGGGGTTTCTGAAGCTCTAGGCTATACACTTCTATCCTCCTATGGTATGAGTCATGAATATGAGGCTAGCGGTGAATTCATTGATAGCTATCAAAACAGTCTTTGGAGAATAACTCAAAAACTTGTTATGGTCGTTGTTGGTTAGATGGAAATTAGATCCAAATTTAGGCAACAGGACTGTACTTATGAAAAACTTTGAAATTAAGTCACTACCCTCTCTGTCTTTTCTATCCTGGTATTAGGTACAAGCCATCAAGAAGGGCTCTCTACTTCTCTTTGTTCTGGGAGGTCCTCTCCACCTCAAGCCAGTTGTGCCCCATCCGTCTGAGATCCTCCTCTGGATCTCTTTCCCAGATGGATCTCAACCTTCCTTTCTTCCCCTCCCCTGGGGATTCCATCAGAGTGTGCCCCATCAACCACCACCTTCTTTTCATGATCTCATAATCTATTGGTTGTTGTTTGGTCCTCCTCCATAAGACTACATTTCAGATGGTGTCCGGCCAGTGGATTTTCAGAGTCACAACTGCTATGTTCAAGTTATCTTAGCTGTATTTTGTTAGATTCAATTGCAAAAATTATCAGTAATGGGTGCTTGAAAGTTCAACAGCAGATTTATGTTGTGTAAAAATGAGGCATCTACCCTTGGAAGTTTGAATTGACTAATGTTTACCATGGCATTTTATCATAGATGTTCCTCTTGAATGGTGAATGCATGTTGTTGTGTGATGAACCTTGTATAGTAACTGCAATAAATAAAATATAACTGAATGGCTAACGGTGAAAACAATTTGGTTTGACTTTGATTTCCTGAATGTATCTTTTAGAAAAAGTTGTTTGTGTATTAATAGTCTCAATGAATCTGATCAAGAATCAGTCAAATAATCACACAGATATTGACTACTGACATGTGACTAAACAGGTAAGAGATCTCTAGAAACCTCAATTACATTTATGGTATAGGTTTTTTGCAAAAGAAAAACTCAGGTCCCAGCCTTTTGTTTTAGTACTTTCGAATGCTTTATGAGAACCATAAACTTTACAATTGCATTAGGATATTTTTATAGCGAGCATGATCTTGTTGAATCATTTATTTTATATATATAGATCTGACGGAAAGTAACATCCTACAGGCAAAAGACAGCAACTTTACTTTTACTTTGAGGCTTCCTAAATTCTGTCAGCCAAACTTTTCTGCTTTATGAGGATATAATCATAATTTTTTAAAACTTTTTTGTTTTGACTAATGCTTACTATAAAAAGTACTGGTTCTGATGACATAAAGTTATATATACAAGATTGTAGAGGATGCTGTAGGTAGGTTGTCAATCTATTTCTCAATGTCATACTTTTATCTTTTATTTTACTATTCTTAGCCCTAAATTACAATTACGTGTACATTTATTTGACTGATTTTACTGAAATCAGATAAACAAGCAAAAATTTGCACTGTTTGTGGAATGAATATATCCATTATGGTGTTCTGGGCAATGGCCTCTGGCCATAATACACTTCAATCTCATTCGTAAGCAAGTTTTAAAAATCTTGACAGAATAAGTTTGTCACTTTGGGACATCTACTGCAACTCTAAAATTATATGGTTCAAACTGTTAAAAAGTCTTTGGTCTGTCTTTTGAAGGGTAGCAGGTTAACACTTATCTTTATGCTGTTAATTGCTTCATGCTGCATGTTATGTATGTGAGCTTTTCCTGTGGACCAAAATCTGGGATTTGAATTTGGGTTGTGTTTTTTTCTCTGAAGTGACCCATTCTGAGTGTGGAATAGTGTTGAACTTAAATAGAAAAAGGAGACAGCCTGACAATTCAGAGCAAAGCATCTACTTTTTCATAAGGGAGTGTATACAGTCCCGGTAACCGGGAACAAAGTCACAAAGTATACAGACCCGGTAGGGGAACTCTTTTGTGATTTCGGAAAGTTTCAGCGCCCTCTTGGCTCAGGGTAGATCACAGAATTCTACACTCAAGTCTCTCTCTCTCTCTCTCTCTCTCTCTCTCTCTCTCCCTCTCCCTCTCCCTCTCTCTCTCTGTATCGCTCGCATTCTCTTTCAGAGTGGTTATCCGTACAATTGTGCGACAAAACAGAGTGGAAAATGCCATCAACTTCTCCACTCTTACATCTTTCCTATCCTTCCTCATTTCTGGTTTACACTATCCTTTTCAATGCCAAGTATAATGTATCATCAGTGAAGCAGAAACAAAAAAGGATAACAGCTTTTGAAAGGAAATGTTTAAGAATAGAGAACTCTTTAAAATATTGTGGAGACAGGAAATGAAGAAGTACGAAGAAACACTACAGAAATGCCAACACTCCTCCAGAACATAATATAATAAAACTGAACCACTTTGGGCTTATCAAAAGCCACAATTCACCTGACAAACATACTCGGGAAGCAAAGGTAGAAGGCAAGAGAGAAAGGGGGATACCTAACAGAAGATGGGAACAGGACAAAGAAACCTTGCCTGGAACCAAAACAGATCAGGCAGGCAAAATGGCATAAAAGAGACAGTATTTCTTTGCAAAAAAAATATTCGAAAAGCGGCATCCAACAACTGGAAAAGCTACGAAAGCAAAGAAATTGTACCATCATCCCAGATATGGACAAGTTTCTTTAGAACTAGATCTAGATCTAGATGTTGTTAGAATGCATGACAGAGAAAAGGAAAAGTCACAACCTGTCCCCCTTGTTTTATGCAAGAAAAATTCTGATATTATGCAAACTGAGCCCCAAAATGTGAAATTATGCCATTCTGTTAATTTTAACAAAGAATAGTAAAGTAAAATAATCAGAAATTATGCAAAAAATGATCAAATTTTGCTAAATTATGCAGGATGCCTAAAACCACGGGGACAGCATAACTCACATTTCTGCGAAACTAAATGCTGACGAAGTTGTGATATTCTTTTATTTTAGGTTTAAAAAAATCAATAAGTTGCTTGCTGATGAGTCAAAATGGCTGACTACGAAGCACTTGACTTCCTTGAGCAGAGAGTCTCAAGTCTTGAAGCTTTAGTATTTGGACAGTCGGAAAAAGATGCTGATTATCCAAAGGTTTATAATATTTTTTATTAAATTCTCAACTGCAGAGGACCGGGTAGGATCGTAGTGCTTTCACTCAAGCCTTTGGTGCTACTGATAAGCTGGCATTGCCTCTCTACTTCTAGATCTACATCTCCCCCCATTGATTATAAATTGATATGATGTTTTAAAGTTAAAGGTTTGATTGGCTATCTCTCCATAGAGTAGAGGCCTATCGGCTCGCGCATCAAGAAGTGATCGTTTAGAAACAGAAGTAATCGTTGGTGGGGTCAAAACGAGTATCCCCAAATGGGACCACAATTGTACAGGAGTGCCCAAAATGTCATACCCAATTTCTCATACTCGTCCCTGATTTCATCTGTATTGAACTGAATTTATTTTAATTAACTCTGAAGTTAAAAGGCAAATAGTCTAGTAGGGATGACTTTCGTAACAAGCGATCACTATGAGACAGAGCAGAATTGAGGGCAAGGGGTAGGGGTAGATCTAGTGGTAGGGTTTGGGTTGGGATTAGGCCTCTTCTTTATTTTTATTGTGTTTGATGGGGTGGTCGCTCGTTACGGAAGTCCTTCCGTCTAGTAAGATGTCTTGTAAATACTACTAGATTTAGATCTAGATATATGTAGATCTAGATCTAGGTGCTGCTTAAAAATGCGAGTCCCGTTTGGGGATAATCTAGAAATCTAGTTTTGACCCCACTGACGATTACGTCTGGTTCTAAACCATTACTTTTTTACGTGCGTGCCAATGGAGAGATATCAAGCCTAATTGCAAAACATAAAATTGTGGTCAAATTCAGAGGGACGTGTCCCCCTGAACCTACCCCCCCCCCCCCCCCCCCCCCCCCATTCATGTTTTTGTGAGGTCAGGGGGCTGAAGCTACTATACTATAGTCTATAGGCTGTCCTCTATAGTAGCAAATAAAATTTCTCCTCCCCACCCTAGTCCTAGGCCTGGAGGCTAGATGTAGTCCTTGTCGTCTATTAATTTAATGTTTTGAGAAAGTGTATAAACACATTGATTGTAGCTGTATCCTTTACTTTGATTTGTGGCAATGAAGATGGAGAAAGTACATTCCTGTTATGAAAGGCCATATTTGCCATCAGTTTTATTGCTTCCTTTTTGTGCAAGAAAACAATTCATCCAGTGGTGTGGGTTTCGAAGTTGTATTAGTAGTTCAATGAGTGAATTATAAATAGTTTACCCCTGACCACCTGAAATAGTGAATGGTTACAATGAGCTGAACTTGAAGAATGTTGCAGTAGATGAAAGCAAGGGTGAAATGTTTGCTCAGAGAGTACAGCTACCACTTTTCCACTAAAAAGCGAAAACTCCGCTACCGTTGCTTTATCACTAGCTTTTCCGGCTACTTTCCTCCTTCCTGTACTGGACCACTCCCGGTTGCAAATTGCGATACTTTTTTACCCGCGGAAAACACCGAACCGGGAGTGAGACGAAAACACAGCTTGCACATGTCCGCCTGTAGCTTCCTACTTCCGTTCTGTGCCTGGCGCTGAAGTCTCACGTTGTTTATTGTGGAGGGACAGTGTCGATGGAGCACCGGGATGATGGCGCGCCTAGTTGTCCTTGAAAATGGCGGAAATTCAAGAGAAATTTAGGCAGAATGCAAAAATAAATGGAACTGGAGCTGAATTAAGAAAGAAGCAGACGGTGTACAACTTCAGCAGTTCATTAGAAAATTGAACAAGCCAATGCTGCACGACTTTGCGTTTGGTGCAATAGAGAAATCTCGTACAGTGCCAAAGGTGTTGATTCCATAATCCAACACTGCTCTACATCATTGCACAAACACTGAATTTTTTGTCACCAAACTGGGTCAAATGCTTGAATGTCTTGGTTTTTTTTCAAATAGATACATTTTAATTCAGTACCATATGGTTAACAAATCTGTACAACACTTTTCCCTTCCAAAAACACAGATGTTCTGAGAGCATACTTCTGGATCTCTCTAGTTTACTCTGGCCTTCGTAGAGCGTGCTTACACCTTAGCGTGAATTTCCTCCTTTTTTGAAATTCCTGAGTGGCAGCTATGAGATAGGTTCAAATTCGAATTTGCGTTCAACAAGTTTAGATACAAAATGTAACAAAATATAAGGAAAAACAGGATAAGGGTTGTGCCCCACAACAATGTCCTTCAGGATGTCACTGTTTACACTTAACAAGGATGCAGGAACAACATAAAGCTTAGTTTTGAAATAACCAATTGGTCAATAATGCTTGTAGTACATCAATTTTGATTTGAACAAAGGAAGGAATGGGAACATCACAATTTTGATTACTTCAGTTTTGAAGGCTTCATTTGTGACTGTCACAGTGCATGACACAAACGTAGGCCTACTCTGATACAAATATATAATAAATTAGAGATCTGACCAAATATAGTTCAATGTATATAATCTAGTTGAATGGAATGGAGAATAGAATAGAGTCATACAAAAGGCACACATATCAATATATATACTCTCAGAGATACCCCCCTCAACCAGCCACGTCTGCTCCATGTGTGGCAGGGATTGTCACTCCCGCATCACCCTCATGAGCCACCAACAATCGTCCTTCAGCAGTAACACCATGAACTCTTAGGGTACTATTATATCCATGGTCGATGATCAACCAAAGATGGCGTACCTCTACCACAGAATACTCTCTAGGAGTTTCTGACAGAAACGTTTGAAATTCCGTTCATAGGAACACAAGTCAAATGACTTTAAGAGTGCAATGAATAGGTAGCGTAAACACAGCCTCACGGGCATTCGTGGCCTTCCGAGCCCATGGTTTCGGTGAAATCGAGGTAATTCAGATTGCTGTTACTTCGCTCTTTCGCTATCAAACACCAAATGCTGTACACATTGTAAAAGTTCAGCTTTTCCTCGTTACAATAGTGTAAGTTGTTTATATGTCCGATTATTAGGAGCTGAAGAATTGCCGTGGAAAGCGAAGCCCCTCACGGTCTAAATGTGTGGTTGGCCGGTTAAAAAATTAACACGCATGCATCCAATGCTTTGCGGAAAGATTGATTATTAAATACCGTCTTTTCATGGGCAGAGAACTGTAGAGCTTTGAAAGGGCATTCCCGTGGTATATTTTTTACCTCGTTTAAATAGAAAGCCTTTAAAAATACCTTCAAACTTTTCAATGATCATATTTTTTACACGAAATATGTAAAATACCGGCTAAAAAAATACCATTAGAAAGATCAGTTCGTTTTCTATTAAAATAAAATAATCGGCTTAGAAATATTTTTCATCAATTCTTCCGCGAAGCTCGGAAAGCATGAGACCCCCACGCAGGGAGCGCTCGGTGCACTAGTAGAGAGCCGACGCGCTCGCCACAGGGGCCGGTGCGACGCCGGCCGGGTCAACGCTCAGTGTTTTTGTCGAAATAACGACAGGTCATCGTGTTTGCGGCGATAAAATACTGATTTGCAATGATCTCAATCTTGAAAAAAATTAGGCTCCATATCTATATTATTGTGATTGTACTCTATTAATGTGGAGATGTTTGATGCACTTGGTACTCTTTTCCTGTCTGTCAAACTTGGGGTTGCAGCCTGTTAGTAACTTAAACAAATTTGATCATATTTAAAACAGCTACCATTTTCTTAAAAATCGTCTGAGAGGTTAAAAAATGGTATCAAAATTCTCTGGAGATATAGGCCTTTCATATGGAACAGATAAATTTGACATACATCTACTTTAAAAATTTAGTTTGTGGTACCTACAACAAGGTTATATGCTTTTTTATTTGAATGACTCCTTCAAAATGAACTCTTTGTGATGTACACTGCCTGAGCTTGCAAGCTGCCTCGTTTTGTAAAAAAAAAAAAGGGTTTTTTTTTCACTTTTCTCAGAAGTTATCTTGATTTATAAAATATTTCACTTTTGCTTCTCAAATTTGTTCTATATATTAGCATGTTTTGATTCCCAGCTTAATGATTGCTTTCTTTGCATTTTTCATGGAAGACTATAAATACGTGTGACAAAAGTGAGTGTACTCTCCCTCCCCCTACATGTAATCACACCATACCCAAATTGCAGAGCCACCAGGTTTGAGCGGGTGGATATATTGACAGGTTGTAGTGAGATATGTGATGGATGTGTGGCTCACAGTAAAGACAGACTGGATACTTCACCGAAGGTCAAATTGGCGGAGTTCAGTGTTACTTAGTCCAGCCATGCAATGATCTCTCTGCTAGCAAGATCATCATCATATTCTAAGCTTAAGTGCTAATATGTCCAGTGAAACCACATAACAAAAAGATTGACATTTCTGCTCTGCTTTAATGCAAATGAGAGTGTACCTTTACAATTACACCCTTCAAAATGTAAGTTTTAAAACCTGCCACAAGCTTTATTTTAACTGTTGCAGAAGAACGTCTTGAGTGTATAATCTTTGTGACTATTTTTGAAAGATTTTAGCATAGCAAGTGGCATGGCTCAGTATGAAATGAAGTAGGTTTGGAAGATATGCTCATGTATGATGGTCCCTGCCGCCTAAACGCATGCTATTCACTCCGTTCAAACCCACGCTTTCATCATGTAACGGGTTTTTTACTATATAATTTAGATGTACAAACGCACGGTTACTCCCTCAAAGCGCTCGCTCCAATCCGTGAAACATGGCGACATGTAAAGCTTGAAAATGGGAAATTTTCACTCCAACCTGCTCAGCTTACATAGGACAAGCCTAGATATTTGGTAAAACTGTCCCTCACGTCGAACAAAGAGTGATGGACAGCGTTTTTACACCCAACTTTCCACAGACAGTACGTAGGTCTAGGACTGGTCGGTGAAATGTTGGGGGGTGGTGTTGGGTAACAAAATGTTTTTTGATTGGTCACTGGAAATGCATCTTTGAGAGATGGTTTCTGACTGGTGTTTGGGTGACTGCATGTAATGTTTAGTTAGACCTAGGCCTATGACTATGATGCGCAACACGCGTGAATGCTGTAAAACACTTGATAAGCCTCTATAGGATTAAAGATTAGTCAAGTAAGTTTAATCAGCTGCTCGCTAAGAACTTATAACGTACTTGTTCAATGAATCACAAGAGAAATGTTTCTCTGAATGTAGAGATCTATGATTCTAATGTCGTCAATAAATTTACGGTCGGGGGTGGTCGCTTGGAAAGCCACATGGCTATCACCAACAGTTTCCTCTTAAAAAGCTGTCTGTCCCCAACATTTTATGGTGCATATCATTACATTGAGTCTGTCTTTCTCTCTGTGTACTCTTATCTTTACATTTTTAAGCTGAAAAGCGTAAATATGATTGTCGAATTGTGCTTTATCCTTATCCATGAAATCTGTTGTGATCTTCCTATGTTAGTTTTAAGGTAGATGTTTACGAAGCGTGCCACTTCTTCACAGTGCTGTATAATTTTGTTTTTCCCTAGACCAAGGTGTTTTTGCTCTTTTTTTTTGTGGATGTATCATATTCTGTGTTAATTGCATTCCATAATATATTTCTTTTTTTATCCTGCACTTAGTTTCGAATGAAAAAGTAGGAAATGAATTGTCTTCAAATATTGGAAATATTTTTGTAAACCGCTGATAGTAAGATTAAGAAGTGGAATGCACTCCCTGTCTCACAAAGGCATGGTGGCTGCATGATTTGCTGATGAACAGATACTTATTCAAAGATTGGCTTGTGCTTCCACAGTTTGTTTTTATGTCATGTAGTTGCCCTTCAGTTTTTTTAGTCAAAATATTTGATCTTGACATTTGACACAAAATGTGTATTTTTATTTTTTGAACAAAAAATCATTTTAAGAGCTGTTATGGTATAAGTATAATATCGTGCAGAAGTGTGCAGAAATAGATAAAAAATTTAGAGGCTTAATGGAAGCTGATGCCTCTCCCTGAAAAGTGTAAGATCTTTGAAAGCTGGTTTACATGCATACAAGCATAATTTAGACGTTCCTTTGTCTCCTTTAACTTTGTACTCATTCACTCTAATCTAATGGTAAGTGATAACACTTCCTAAGCATGGTATAAAATATATAAAATTAAATTTTTATTTTTTGTGAACTTAGGAGAATTGCTATAGCCTATGCACTGTTTTGTTGCTTTTGCCTTTCCCTGTCATCCCTTTCTCAATAACTTCAGTGTTTATGGATGTACTTTTTTATTTCAATAATTTCATTTTTGTTGTTGCATGGAGTTTATTGATTTGAAAGCATCCTCACTTTCATTCATTTCAGAATTCAAAGCAGAAACAACAGGTGAGGTATTTTTGTGGTGTCTGCGTTGTACTCGAAGTTGACATTTAACTATTTATTGCATCGTATCATAGTCTTGTGTTATGTGATCAAGTTCTAAAATATGGAGAGAAAAAAAAAAGACTGAGATGAACCCAGCAGTTGACTTATCAGGGAATACTAATCAATGAATGGCAATTCTAGTGACGACTGCATTGAGTATCTCCCTGTTAATTTGAGCACCTAGATTTAATTTCCTGCATTTTCAAATAATATTGTATGCAGTTGCTGTATTGAGGAATACTTTTTCTTGAAGTTCGAAAGAATTCTTTGATTGCTTTAGGTTGGGAAAGAACTAGTTTTTGTTCTTCTGCTTAGCTTTTCAATAGTTTTCTTGAAATGTGGAAGGATTTTTGGAACTTCTTTAGATTGGGAAGGACTGGTTGTTGTTTTTTTTGTTCTTCTGCTTAGCTTTTCAATGGTTAAGCCTATGTCCTATTGTGATATAATTCTTTGTGCAATGCTTCAGCCACTTGTACGTATCTGTGCCCATTGTTATCTTAATTCTGTACTCCTAGCTTGGGATTCCATGAATGAGCATGGCATGCCTTTATGTCAACTGTGAAATGTTTCATTATTTTCTTGTGCTTTATTGTCTTGTCCTTTGCTGTGCCATATCTCAGAAGGTACTACCAAATACTTACGTCCATCTTTACCCTTTTCATATAGATTATTGACAGTCTTTTGGAAGTTCAAGCAAAAATTAACACATCCCTGGCTGGAAAGAAGAAAGCTGCACAACTGTATGAAAAATGTAAGTTGCTTTTTTTTCTGACTTTGATGAAAATTTCAGATAATTTGTTCTCATGCTCAAAATTCTGGACTTAGTCATAGTTATTTATTTTCTTGTTCCTTTTTTCTTCACAAACTTTATTTTAAAAAGTGTATCTCTTAACCACTGCTAATTTGTATTTTGCACCATTAGTCCATTGCTTCCAGCAGTCTTTGTATTTCCTATGAATAAATGACAGAACAAAATATTAGGTTTTAGTCGTTAAAAAAAAATAAAATAACAGTTGTGAAACCAGCAGTACTTCCAAGTAGAAAACCTTATTTAGAGCATATAGCTTTAAGCCAATAAAGCTGGGTTTTTTTTGTCATTTTCACCTTTTTTTGGGGGGGGGGGAAGGAAGGGGAAGTGAGTGAGCACTCTGCTACTTTATGAATCTCAATGCTATAGCATGTGATACATTAGAAACAGAACTATTGCCATACCAAAATGAACCCTACCGACTTAACGATCCTTGTATCTGTCAAGAGAAGTGAGGACCTCTCTGAAAAGCTAGGGAAGAATTTAGAGAAACAAGATCAACTAGGTCAGTAATGTTTTCAAATTGCTATTATCATGAGCATGATTCCTTGTTCCAGTGCCTGATTTGAAGAAATACCTGGATCATCGATACACAGATGAAATGATGTTATCTGATGATGCAAGGGAAGAGACTATCCTTTCAGGTCAGATTTTTGGTACTGCTGTCCATTTATCTTGTAACAATCTTGCATTTAACTTTTTTAAAAATTTCGATATGGGTGTTTTTACGCCCCTATCCACACAATTATATAAATAATAATCATAAGAAATAATAAGTCACACTTTTATTTATCCCGGAATAGCACTTTGGTTTACAACGGCGAAAAAAAACATACATAAATACATAATTATAAATGTGTAACATTCATAAATACATGAATAAATACATACATAAATACACAATATTACACAAATACACAACAGTTTACAACCATGCCACTGTCGGTCGCCACTGTGCAGCGCCCTGTATTTTGAACTAGGGTTGTCGTGTCTTGCTCAAGGACACACCCCAGTGACCACCCATCTGATCCCCATGTCACCAACACTTGCTTGACATTACTTGAGTCTAAACTGAAACTCACTACTCACTTACCCACTGGAGCCCCCAGTTTAGGTTGCGGGCTTCAACACTGCCTGTCAGGGCCAACCCGAGCAGAAAGGGATACAAAATCTCAACAGAAAGACCGAGATACCTAATAAAAATCCTCCCCACCCGGGTATCGAACTTTGGTGTCTTGCGTTCAATGGTGAAGTACCTAACCACAATACCACAAATGCAGGTGGAAATTGTAAAAAATCTATTTATATTCTTCACTGTTTACTTTTTGTAGTTTTCTAGTTACTAACATAATTTATATACCTACTTGTGTCAGAAACAAATGAATACAAACTGCAGCCTAGCACAGAGATCTATTCTTATTTTTTAAAATTATATATATTGCAGTGCTATTTTTATGAACAGTTTGATTTTGACCTTGGAAAGGTTTTGAAGCTTGCTACTTTTCTAGGTCTATTGAAATGAATGCTGCCTCTGTATGAATGAGTTTTTAAATCAAATTATGACTAATGAACTAGGAGGAAATATAAGCTAAGAATACTGTGAAGCGCTGACTGAGCAAATTAAAAGTTCCTTTTATCTGTGTTATTTTAGCTTTAATTATTATTTATAATTTATGCTCCACAGAATCTGAATTTTTAGAGAAGCAAGCTGCTCTTTACCAGAAACTCTCAGAAAAACAGCAACATGTGAACAGTGAACACGTTCAAGGTGAGGTGTTCACAAATCTGCTTTTTTAAAACCGTCACTAAGAATTGCAACTTTCAACTTTTTGACCAAATGCCTTTCTCCATATAGATCTAGGTCTTATAGTTTCATTGTTAAAAGACGTTATGGTTGTTCTGTCCTTTGGACTTAATATTAACCCTCTTTTCATCTTCAAGGGATCCAACTTTCAATCAAATCCTTTTCATGGTCTAGCATGTACATAATGAAACCCACACATAGCAAGCATATTTTCAGGTCCCAAATTTTTTTCTTGGACATGTATTTCTTTGTATTAAAAAAATGTATGTTGTGAAATTCATACATAACGAAAAGATTTCTACATCCCACCAATTTTGCTATGTGCACACTAATTTTATTCATCCATTTTAGTTTGAGATTGGAAACACATTTTTAGAACATGAGTGAACAAAAATGTATTTACATTGTTCATGAATAATGCTTTTGAAAATAAATTTCATCATTATGATGATAAATATCGAGTTTGGAAGGATGGCCCAGGACAGAGATAAATGGAAGGAGCTTGTATGTAGCCTATCCTGCCAGGGGATGATGATGATGATAAATGTATAGACCTTTTCCTTGTTCCTTTTGACAGGTGACTAAATTGGTCATTGGTTGGATGTTAAGTATTGAAAACAATGGAGACAGAAAAGAAAAAGCAGGGCACATGCACTTTTTAAACATCAGTGCAATAAAAATATGTATCACAACGTGGTGGAATCCGGACACTTGTCAATTTTTGGGCATGTGGAGTTATTGGTTTCATCTAAAAGCTTCTTCATTTGTCTTGCTATTGTGGCAAAAAATATCCATCCATCTTGAATAGAAGTCTAGATATTTGCGATTGAAGGAGATGGGAGTGGCCTGGTTTCAGAGGTAAAATTAGCAAGAAAATGGTGGCCAAAGTTTGATGGCTCGCAAAGTTTGAGAGTGCTTGGGAACTGTTAATTTACTTTTTTGTGTCTCTTACTCTTTATCTCGGGCAAGCCACTCTCAGTGGCTCGCGGTCAGAACCTCTGTGCCAGTGAGCCAAGCGGCTCAGGCGCATTCCTTTACAACGACTTAGGCATCAAATTACTTTTTGGCAATTGCCAAAAAGAGGTCTGTTTTATCAGGAGTTCATTCATTACATGAAGAATTATCGAAATGGGTTTACTTGTTTTGATTTGATGACCAATTTAGTGACAAATATGTCAGTTTTAGATTTCGTATCAAAGTAGGGCCCCGGCATAGAGTTAATCAACATTTTTCAGTAAAATCCACACAGAATTGTGTTTTTACACAAACATGAAAGTTGTTGAGCCCCCCCAAAAAAATTCAATAAAAATTGCAAGACGCGCAGAAAAATGTTGGTTTCTTTGATATTATTAGAATGTGACGAGTGCCGGATTTCACCGATGTCTCACGTAGGACTTGTTTCATACACTGCGGTTCACTTCTTTCACACATTGCAATACAATTTGACATTCATACACTTTTGTTGTGTTCTGCTGTGCAGAATCCACTTCATTGAGGGTTAGTATGTCTCCCTGACAGATACATCACAGTATCTACTTGTCCAAAATCCAACAGCACTCTTTGTGGTTTGGCAGGGTTTTGGGGGGGGGGGGGGGGGGCAGAGTCAACATACTTTTTGACAAGTGAGCTGGAAAATTAGGTGTTTTGCATTCAGGGGTCTTTAGTACTAAGTTTAACTACTTTTGATGTCATTTATAGGGGCTATGACTGAATGTAAAAGTGTGATATTTTCCTCTTCCTCTTCAACTGCTTCTCCTTGTGGACATGGCATCCTTGACCACCTCCTGGACATGTTCTCTGTTCAGGAATATTTTCTCAAGCAGGTGCCAAAAGTGTTTCAGCTTTTGATTGTTACTGTTTTCCACCAGGTTTCTTTCCCATCCTGCTTTTCATGTACCGGTATCAGCTAACATGATGCTCAGCCCCAAGAGCTGTGAATGTCCTTCAGTTGCTGCTCATTTCAAAATCAAAGACTTAAAAAAAACAGCTTTAGCCACTGCCCCTGCTCATTGTTCATTCCACGCAACCTTTTAGTGCTGCTCAAAACGCAAGCCTTGATATTTTCAGTTTTTGTTCGTATTGCATGCCAATGCTATAAAATAAATATTATACCTTTGATATTTGTTCAAATCCGAGTTCTTCTAGCGGGTTGTACTCTCCAATTACGTTACAAAGTAGCATATGTAAAGTGTCTTTGAGGCCGTTAGACCGTAGAGATATTTTTTAATTTGGTTTCTGTGGCCTGAAGTGAAACAAAATAATATTGGATCACTCTTTGGACTCGACTCTAATACTTCAGGAGTTTATTTCTTCAGTAGATGTTGATGCTCAATTCACCCCTCTATACAAATTGATGTGAAGTTTCTTTCTCACGATATAAAATTCTAACTCTGTTCTGCTAAAAACCACCTGGCTCTTGATCATGAATTTGGCATACAAAGCAAATAAAATTGTCCATTGGAATCAGTTGTGTTCTTTTCAACATAGAAGTATTCATGTAAACCTAAGCTTGTTGTTCATTGTCAAGGCTTTTTATGCTTCAAGCTCTTGTTTCCGTTATGATTCATTTGCAGCAGCAAACATCTGAATGTACGAAGTGAGTAATTATTCATCAAGATATATTTCGTTCTCATTCCACAGCCGTGCCAAAGTATACAGAAAATCTGCAGACGTTGAGCCAAGTTCAAATCGACCAGCAGGTAAACTCTCTTAAATATTTCTGTGATGCTTTATAAACTTTTCCCTTTTCTTGTAGTGCAGTTTGAGGTGATTTTTCACATGTCAGCTGTTTTTAAGTGTTAAGCTGACAAGACAGTCCGCTGTATTGGTGACTGTATAGTCGGACCTGTCCAAGACACCTGCCGGTGGTCAAGGGAAAAGTGGTCCTCTTAGACGGGTGGTCCTCTTTGACAGTGTCATTGAAATGAAGTCAAGACACAAGGTCGGGGGGAGGGAGGGATGAGTGGAAAGTGGCTGTTTGTGCAGGTGATTGTCTTGGATAGGTGATCGTTAGAGCAGGACTGAATATGTTATAAGGTGGAGGATGAAAATGTTTTTCTCATTTGACTTATATTCTAAATAATGAGGGTTTTTTAGGATGTACTCCAGTCTTGTGGACATCAATTGGCTACCGCATAGATTGTTCAAGGTCTCTACTTTCGTGGTTGTCTGCCTTGAATATCAAGTGGACAACTTGCTATAGCTGGCATATTTGGTCATCTCATCAGAGATGGATTTCCATTAGAACGTATCTTTTTTCATGACTGTTTTTAACCATATTACTTGCAGGAAAGAGCTTTCCAAATATAGTTTTCAGGTCTTTGTATTTTTATCATGTACTTATTTCTTGCGTCTAAAGGTGCACCCTTGTTCCTAAGATTTTTCCCTGACAAATGCAAGTTTACCACTGACAGAAATAGGGTTAAGCCTGTCTGGATGGATTCTCAATTTTGATCCCTCAAATCAGGATGGGAGAGAGGGTCTGACTCACCTTTGACTTGACTTTGGTTGTACTTTTTCCACCAAAGTGAATAAAAGATGAAGTGCTTTTCCAGTACAAACTTCATTTTATTGTGTGCTCAAAATTTTCCTCTGTCTTTTTCTCCAGGATGCATTGGCCACTATGTCTGAAGAGACGAGAAGGTTGCTGAATGCCTACAACAATATTGTATCCTTTGACAAGAACAGTGGTCTAGACTTGATCCTTATGAATTATGGGTAGAGAGTTGGGCAATCATTGGGATTTTTGGTTTGGATTAACAATTCCTTTGTCATAACCATGAACAAATAATTGTAACATGTTTAGCGATTGTTTTGGACTTATAACATACCAGGTACACTGAATAAACATCAAGGCCAAGGGAATGGGTTTGATTAAGTCAAGCTTGCTGATCATCAGTCTCATTGAAAAAGACAATTTTAACTTCCTGCGTTATTGATACTATAATAATTTTTAACAACCACTTAGGTTTCAGTTTTTTCAATTTATTGTCTTTGTATTGAAATGTGTAAACATTGCATTTATTTCCTTAACTGTGCTCCAGGTTTCTCTTCTGTCCAAGCAGTTTATTCTCTGGGATGAGCATGTCACACAGTTGGAGTTACAAGCTCAGAAGAAATAAAATGTTCTTTAAAAATGTATCCATTAGTTCTTCTATATATATATTTTTTGAACTGTGGTCCTTCTTGGACTTGAGGCCATGCCTTGTGATACTGCCTCCCTAAGTCACATTATTTTCTTCCAGCTTTCTGTTATCCTGTGACACATTTAAGGTTCAAAATGGGTTTTTTGTTGCTCTGCCAAGGGGGAGGGTTGTTAGATTATCCCTATTATTTCATTCTTGAGATTATTGTCTTAAAAATAGTGTTGCTGTTTCCAGCATTGTGAATGTTAAGTAGGCAGTACAAACTGAGGGTTCTTAATATTCCCTTTCTCAGTACTATTTCTATGACCAAATAACATGCAGATAGATGTCATTGTGTCTGAGGACTGCCTTCATATTGTTTTGATAGCTTGTGTGCAAAAAATGTAAGTGTTGATCACCTTGCTTCATTCATTGGTGTGGATACTTTGAATGAGATTTGCTCCTTTGATTATATATATCTAACACAATAGCCAAAGGGAAATAGTGGAACGTGACCTAAGAGGCAAGAAGTAGTGATTAGTAAACTAACATATTGAAAAGGAGATGTTACACAAGACTGAGTTAATGGGAAATTCGAAGAAGGTAGGCTACACTGAATGGGACTGGGACAGAGACTGGAAAAAAGAGTCGCTAAGAATAAAGGAGAGAAAATAGACATTGTGACTGAAGGAGGGCAAGAGAGAAAGAGTAAGCACAAGCTGCAGTGTGGGAAAGAAAATGTGATAAGGCATGGTGTGAGACAATTGAATTTCAAGATGCTGTTTTGTTCAGGTTGTGTAAAGTACCTTGCTGCAGGAAACTGTCGTTCATATGGGATGGTCTTCATTTATGTGACAATGATTTAAATTTTAGTAGAGCATAAACATTGCTTTTTACAATGTTAACTTTATATAAATTAGTCCTGGTCCAAGAGAGACCGGACACTGCCTGATATACGGCCACAATTATGTTCTTTGAACAAAATGCTGGTTTCTGGAGTTTTTCTGCAATATGACGAACAACAGTGCTGTTTGTTTCTTGAACGTTTAGGCAGTTTTCAGCTTTCAAGGCGACAGCTCTTTATTTTATTTTCTTTGAAATGTTGACGAAATATGAAATTTTGCCAAAACTTATTGAGGCTGCCAGTCTTTGTTTTTTATTATGCCACCAGCTACTTTAGTTAGTTTGGGCAGTTGGGCCTACTATGTTATGTGTACAGCCTCCATCTCTCAAGGATCCAGTAATTTTTGGGATGCCCTGTACCCCTTCGGTCTTTAGTTCAAATTTATGTATCTTTGGCTTTACGAAAGTAAGTTATTTACACATTTTGACATCTTAGTATAGTTTTCCCATTTTCACTTCCTACCCCGCCTCCTCAAATAATATTGTTATTATCTTTTATGCTGTGTAAAAACATTACAAAATGTTTTTCAATGTAAAATTATCTGCTTGTCATCACCATTTTTCTTTAGTGCAATACTGTGAGGACCACTGCAATGGTGTTGGTTGCTTTCTGTGTAAGATTGATTTGAATGTTTGCTGCTAAAGTTGTTCATAATAAATGTTTCCCTGAACTGTGATTTCTCCTGGTTTATTTCCCGTTAATACTGTCCAACACGTTTGTTTCTTGGAACAGGAACTTTGAACAAGGTTTCCAAATCAAGTTAGGGGATATAATATAACTATGTGTACAGTCTAACATGCGCATGGTGAAATTGGCAGGAACCAAAAATCTTTTCGTTATAATGTATGAATTTCACTATGTAACACCTACATGTTTTAAATACAAAGAATATACTTGTAAAAAAAAAAGATTCAGGGCCTGAAATAGCATGTCTGCTATGTGCTCGCTAAACTCTATATTGTCACTGCACAAGAAAAATGGCATAACTCAAGAATTGCAATGCGACTAGCTTTTTATTTTGTTTGGTGGTACTTTATACATTTTGGTAAAACAAAAATAAAAATGCGCTGACTGTCACAAAAGTTTTTCCAAGATGATAAATAATCTCGTTCAACAGTTTTTTCCATTTATCTCAAAAGTAGCAAGAATGAGATGTGCCATTTTGCTAGAGCGGTGACAATATATAGTTCTGGAGGCACCGACCTTTACTTCACTTTTTAGAAGAAACCACATACCCTTCAGATCTCAAGATTTAAATAAAACGAAGGTAATGTTCAATATTCCTAGGAACGTAGCAGAGCCAAATTTTCATAAATTTGTTCAATTGCATAACTCTTCATCTCCGAGGGGGGTAACCCCACTAAGCCAGGGCCCTTTTTTTGGTACTAAATCTAAAAATGACAAAAACGTAACTAAAAAGGTAATTAAATCAAAACAAGTGAACCTGTTTTGATAGTTCTTTATCTAACGAATGAACTCCCGGTAAAAGAGACCTGTTTTTTTTTGGCAATTGTTGAAAAGTAATTTGATGTCAAAAGTCATCGTAAAGGAATGTGCCTGCGGCTTACCGGCACAGGGGTTCCGACCGCGAGCTGAAGGGAGCGACTTGCCGGAGATAAAGAGTTAAGATATCTGTGTATCCTTATAAAATACTCCAGGATTGAGCTGTTCGTTTTGTATCCCCACTTTTTTAAAATGAGCTCAGTGGAGGTTCACAGCTGCACAAATGGAAATCCCCAATGTGTTCCCGACTTATTGCTGATTCTTTGTATTGTTATAAAATTTTAACAAGACACTTTTTTAAAAAATCCCACAGCCAATGAATAATTATTGTATTCAAACTTTAAATACAACAATTTAGTGTTCTGTATTCTCAAGTGATCCAGCCTCTTACAGTTTTAGAAAAAAAGAATAGAACAGTGAAGACTGGGGAGGGAGGGGTGTGGAGATGAAGCAGTTGGTTTGCCATAATTCCAGAAATGACACATGCTTTTTAACATTACAACCCTCTCCATTCTCTTTCGATGAATCAAGGTACTTTTTGACTCTAATTATGATGCTGTTAATTTCAAATGTACACTTAACCAGCTTTTCTTCAATGGTTTCATTCTTCTAGTGGACATGTTACCTTCTGCTCATATTTCGTTGTAGTGAGAGTGTTACCGCACTTGCAACACAATAAGGTCATAAGTGCAGAAGATTAAAAGTGTCACAAGAGAGTAATAAACACAAAAAAGGAGGAGTCTCATACTTCATGCAGGATGAATATATTGATGACTGGTTTGCTTCACTGTTTACAGCCTATTTTCAACTCAGTTATATAAGCACCAAGACTGGTATTCAGATATTTGCCCTCGATCAAATGTAGGTGTTCTTTGAGTGCTAGACAAAGCTACTTTCAAACACTTGACTTTTGCAGCAAGAAAGAGTGTGGTCAAGGAGTGTATACACCAACACAATAGCCCCCACGTACGGTTTGGTGAAGGCAACAAATTACAACGGAGAAAAGGGTGGAGAAAATGGCACTTGCCAAACTTCCTCAGAGTGAAATTCTGTCACCCCATCCTGAACCTCATAACCCACTTTTCCTAAAATTGCCAACAACAGAGTCCAATTTCCCTGCAAGCCAGAGTTAGCATACATGCATCTTATCTGACCAAGGTGGTGTATTTAACCAAGAGCAACAACAGACTGCAATTTCCAGGAGTAGAGTTTAATTTTTTTTAAAAGAAAGTCAACAACAAAAAGAGCATGGTAACAGAAACACCAAAATCTTGTATAATCATGCACAACAACGATGAAGAACACCATACACAATGTGAATTTATAATAAGATTTTTAAAAATTAAAATAAGATGAGAGCCTGTCATCATTTACTCCAAATGTCATGAGCCCTGATGGACTGAATATAAATTAAATTATTTATAATATATACACAACTGTTTTCCCATCTTAGTCTGAAAAATCTACATGTCTTATCGATCAAAAGGAGGCAGACTTGTTCAACCCTTTGTGTCATAGCCAACTCAGGCTGAGCAGAATCGTGCATCCCAGCAGAAAGACAGAAACTATTAATCTTGCACCACAGACACAGATGTGAAATGTGTTAAAAAATAAAAAGGTGATAAAAGCATAACAAAATTAAAGTTGCAGAATATTCATAACAAAGACCTACTTTTGATTACGAGCAAGAATCCAAAATCTTTAAAATAAATACATAAGTACACAAAGTAACAACAAATCTATTATTTCACAATGAGCTCAACCATTACACACTGTTCTTGCGCTTTAACATAGACTGTAACGGGAGGAGCTACCCTTGCCTTGAGGACCATTCTCTATGTTTGTTGCCCACGATCAAATCTAAGTACACATTTAAGTTAGGCATAGTAAAATCTCTTGATACGCAATTTTATTTTGGCATAGCTACAGATGTTGCTATGGAAACGGCCGCCATCTTCAAAATAAACAATGAATTTCAAATCCCTAAGGCTAGTCTATTTACCGACCCAACTTGACCAAATTTGGTGAGAGTATACCTATCAGAGTAACAGCAAGTTTTTTGCAATACGTGCAAAAGAGAAAAAAATATGAGAATTTTCCCAAAGTATAAAAAACATTTTTTTCTAAATTTAGGTTGCGTAATCGCTTGCCAAAGGAAAAGAGTTATTGTTTCCACAAATATCTCTCTGTTACATTGATGGCAGTCTTCCCAGCTGTTTCCTGAAAGTTTCATGTCAAAATTAAATTTTGTGAAAGACGACAATTATTGTGAAAATTCACTATATTAACCCATCCTCATGTTTTCAAAGGCAATTTACGAGGAGAATAAAAACTTTCTCATTTGTCTCCATGCTAATTTTAGACCCAAAAAAACTGGTTGATCTTCAAAAATCAGCCAACATAAAATTTGCATAGCCTGACCCAAAATCTGAAAAATCAAGGGTCGCTCCTCCCCTTAATGCGTAAGCCTAAGAAGAGCATTAATACCAGCCACAGAGCTACTGCTGTGACAAAAGTTGCAATTCATAAAGACACATCTAGTCTACTTCAGCCTGTGAGACACTGCACTTGTCAAAGAAAACCAACGTTTTCTTGCCATTCTCTTATTTCAGTGTTGAACAATCTTATATTTTGCAAGGTTTATTTGATATTTGTAAACCACCACTTTTAACACTTTCCCCCCTACACAGAGCACAAAGTGCAAAACCTTCGTCTCCATACATACCAATACCACAAAGCAGAGCTTGATTTGGAAGGAAATTGGGGTATATCCGTACTATAATCAATATGATCAAGTGGTCTGTATCTTTCCTGTTCCCGAAAAATGTGATGAGCACGGCCGCAAAAGTGGGGCAACAACTGAACTATTTCATCACAGCATTGTCGGGTCATAATAATGATAATAATAATGTTTGTAATTTATTTTATAATCTAGACAATTTTTATAGCCCCCGCTCCAATACAATATAGCTCTACGCATTTTAACAATACCTTTTTCTCAATACAAAATACACATCCATGAATGTTATATGCTCTTTAGATTAACGCCACAATATAAACAGACATTCATACTATCACAGCACAATTGATGATGATTATGCACTCCGCATGAAGAACATTAGAGTACTATGAAGAAGGTTGAAGAAGGACTTACTATCAAGAAGACATTTCTTGAAACATGTTCATGAATCTTGAATTTTGCCTCCGCCTTTGTTTTTATCCTTCAAAAGTTGTGGGAGAGAGTCCCAGATAGATGGGAATAGATGGGAATAGATGAGAAAATGACCTACCACTACTGCCAGCAAGTTTTTAATCAAAAAACAAAAAAATTGTAGCATGCAACAGCTAAGATGTGAATTTTTCTTGTTCTTTGAAGCATCATAACTGACAGGATATGAACCGCTTTCTAACCCTATCTAAGGGTTGCCATTCGTCTCCATGCATCATCAATCTCTACTCTTTTAAGCGCTCAAGTTTACCCTTTAAAAAATTACTGTAAAATCAAAGTAAGAAGTAATAAATGCAGTAAATGCAGGGTCCAAAGCAGATCATTAATAAAGCCTTTCTGAATTTATTTTTTTTAAATGCAGCACCAAATTATGCGTATAACGTGTGAAAAGATGATTTATAACACTTAGGCAAAATCCATAACAATAGAAATTACCCAGTACAAAAATAAAGAAACAAAATTTTGCAATACAAAAGTTCCATCTTTGTATTGGTGAGCTAAAAATAAGACCTTTGCTTTAATAATCACAAGACAATGCACCTACATGAGAAAATCTAATATCTGACATCAGTGTCTCTCTTTCTCAGAGATACAAAAGTAGGTCCTCGAACTCTATTCTAGAACTGTTTTAGGGCCCGTCAGTTGCACTTACATCAAACTTTCTCCCAAAACAACCTCTGCTCACTTCACCAGGTATTTGGACATTCTGAGGTGATATTTCACTAACCATCCAGCTAACAAAGAATCTCTGAGAACACTATAATATAGTAAGCCAGGATACTTTAAATCAAATTTCTATCCATAAAATCAGTTATATTGTCAGATATGTACAACAAAATGCTAAATTTCACGAATGATTAAATATCCTCCTTTGATTTTTGTGTTTAGTTTTCCATACATCCCCCAAACCAAACAAAATAAAACAATTAAAAAAAAAAAATTACAACAGACAACATGAAGATACTTCCCTTTTCCATCATGATTTCTAATAAAGGGTAGGTACGACATAAAGGATAAAGATATTTAGACAAATAATAGTTTATAACTGGTCCCTCAGTTCGCTTGATCAAGAAAATCAGGTAAAAAAACGGAGCTCATTTGTCAGACAGCCAAAAATCTTACAAATACAAACTTTTGAAATTTCTTGAACATTCTCCTTTTGTACAATAAACCCTTATTTCCTTGGAATGTTTACATGAAAAGTAAAATATTTAAAAAATTGATTCTATCAATCGGTTTTCACAACATACAGCACACTTATGCAAATATATCATTATTACATATCCTATTTTGTTCTTGACAAAAGTATAAATCACGGGAGTATTCATAGCGAAAATAGTTCACGACTAAAAACCACTTACCAATAAAATTAAATTTCCATTCTAATTTATCTTTGCACCTACACCCAACCTGATGAGGACCAATAGCTACAAGTTTGAGCGAAAGTCTACATTAATAGTTGCACACATCTGCAGTTGAGATCATGCTGTTCTTGAACATGTTGTCCTCCCATGGCCGATAGACAAGATAAATTGCAAATCACAGAAACTCGAGTCATAATGGTCACAGCATTACCAGACAATAATCATATATATTTATGTCATTCTTCTTGTTCCACACTGCTCAGTTCATATTAACATTATTTCATATTTGTGCTACAGCCAACACTACTATATATACAGGTTAGCCAATGTGTTCATGCAAACAAACATTAATAGCCTTATACGTTTTCAGTTTCAAATGAAAACATCTACCGTATATAAGCACTTTATTTCCCAAAGGAAAACGACATTTTCTTTTAATGGAAAGTATTTGACATTTGCCAAGTCAACAATTAACAAAAGTTCAAATAACAAATGTTCTGCTCAAACAGGGATAGACTCCAGTCTGGAGGGGGAGCACTGAAAATAGGAGACGCAGTTGATACATATTTCGTCATATTAACCTCCACAACAAAAAGCATACAAATGTTCTGTAAAAATGGTTAGAAAAGGAAGGTCAAAACCTCTAGTGCATTCCTCTTCTCCTACTTTCTCTTCCCTCTATTGGTACAATACTTAAAACAAACAAGAGAATATCACTTGATATAAAAAAGTACCAAAACTTTAAAAAAACACACTGATCTACTTAATGTCTTACAATACCATGAAACAAAAAACTTGTACTTATACAGAACATATGCAAAAGAGAAAAAAAGTTTAAGATATAAGGCGACATCTCTGCCTTGAGCTGTAAAGAATCCAGTTACAACCTGGCTGTTGAGGATGCTGTCCCTTGATCAACTAAAGCCTTGATTTGATCCAAAGCCTTGGTCAAAGAATGTCCAAACTTTTTGTTATCTGTTTCCTCATCTGCATTCCATGTTGTGATGTAGAATGTGAGCCTGACAAGAGAGATATAAACGCACACCTGCTTTATTCTGGTGTATTAATCTATAAACAGGGATACCACTCAACAGTTTTGAAAATAGCTGAAAATCCACGCGCCACGGTCTCGCTAACAAATAAATATCAATTTGAAACCCAAAGGGTGTACACAGATAGAAATGACAAACAAATATAAGCAATGGGTGTACCTAGAGAGAAATGAAAAACAAACAAAAACAATGAGTGTACATAGAAAGAAATGACGCAAGTTGTGCGTGTGTGGGTTGTTTTTTTTCAAACTATAGAATCTATCTCGATCTCAATAACGAAATAGCGGATCAGGATCAAAATACCGGAAAAAAGCGGAAAAGTGACATCACTGTATAAAGCATTCTTTACACATTTTTCCTTTTCATTTTATAGCTGTCTGTGGAATATAATCAGTCCTCTGTTATATCAACAAACAGTAAAATTACCCTGAGGGCAGGAGAGTCATTTCACAACTTCTGTCGAAGCATCTTTTCTCCGTTTTTGCTTTAGCCATTGTCAACTTCTTTCGGTCTGATCTTCCAACTCGGTGTCTCGTCTGAGAAAACACAAACCCCCTCACACCCCCATCACGGAGACTCCTTTCAAAACAACGTGTTGAGTCAAGTGCAATGTTGAATATATGTCTGAAAAAAGAAACTACCTTTTATTTCCCTCAGTTTTAGAAACTGGCAATGAAGAAAAGAACTCCCCAAGAATTTGCAGCACAACCAAAACTTTTAAAGAACACAGTAAATCCATCACATAATGAATTCAAAGTATTCAAATTCAAAATATAACAGCCTTCAACATTTTGTAATAAATGTGACAGCTCACCTGTTGTCATTGATGCGATAGAAGACTCCATAGCCATCCTTGCACATTGGCAGCACACCGCCAAGGACAGATGTATAACCAATGCAAGATGTGGAAAGGACATAGTTGCCTCCTCCGCCACTAGAAACAGAAAAACAGTTCACAGTGCGATAGGACAATAAAATCTAGAGTAAATTCACATGCCTCATATAACAATACTTAGTTTAACTGAAGCTTAAGTCTGAAAAGTAGACTAGACACTGAAATCTATCCATGAACTAAGATACAGGGTGATCCAAAAAAAATCTACAACTTTTTTTCTGAATATTTCGCACAAAATTTGTACTAGAAAGTTGTAATTTGGAACAGATATAATGCATTCAAAAAGAATTTGTTGACATAAAATTCACAAAGAAAAAACTTATTTTCAAAAACGAAAATGGCTTTTATAAAAAACACCTATAAATGCAAAATGCACCAATTTAAAAAAGATCTTATAAGGAAAGTCATGAAATGATTGGTTTGTTATTTCCTTTCCTTTAATTTTTAAAATCTAATCTTTCCATCCCAGTCACCTTTAAACAATATTTCTTTTCTCCTACAGAGTTAAAAAACATATTTTTAAAATTCCAGAATTTCGAGAACCATTGGTCTATATCTGTCTCGCCCGCTCAATATCAGTCGAGTGACGCAGTGTGCTATTATCAGCTATGAGGCTCGATAAACAAAAAAGTGACTTTGCGTGAAATTTTTGTTTCTTTGGATCTATTGAAAGTCTTTATTTAAGATAAAAATAAACAACTACAATCGACTATAAATATTTTATTTTGACTTATTTTGGAGGAGTGTGTGGTTTATTGTGAGCTTGGGTGACCAGACAAAGGAATTTAGACCTTGACAGTGTGTAGCTGTGAGATTATTTACAGAACCATTACCTCAAGGCCACCTTTGCTACAACGTTCTTCATTCGCAACTATTTTTAGACTTTGACCTCTTTGCGAGCATGAATGGTCTGAAATGTAAACAGCTTGTTGTCACTATGCACAACAGATTAAACGAGGTAAGAACGGTAACTTCTAGCTCACTTCAAGCTTGTTTACGTAAACAGCACATGACTGTGTGCACGTACCCTGCTAGCTGTTATTGTCTGTTCATCTTTTAGTTTTACACTTGGATTGACTTTAAAAATTCGTTTTTATTGAGTTTTAGTGCTTTTAAAAGATTAATTATAACCTTCCTCTACATCTCTCAAAGTGGACTCCTTACCAAGAGGCCACTGAGGTGGTCTATGTGCATGTGTGCATGCGTATGTGTGTGGGTGTGTTTGTATGTGTGTGTATGTGCGCGCGTGTGAGAGTGTGTGTGTGTGTGCATGTGTGTGTGTGTGCATGTGTGTGTGAGGGTTTGTGTGTGTGTGTGTGTGTGGTTATGGTGTTTTAGTTTAATAGAAGTTTTACGGCGCTTGCAACTGCATACGGTCATATGAGCGCCAAGGGGTGAATGTCACCAGAGAAGTCCTTACAAGGAATCAGACTTACTCTGCTCACCTCTCTAGCTTCAACAGCACAAAGTCTGCTTCGACTATCAAGGCACCCCAGAAGTAGTGGGTCAGAAGAGTGTGACAAACATACAAAAGAAGTAGAAGAAAAATGACAATAGTAAGGATTAGGAAAGAAAAAGCAGCAGTTCCCTGTTGTAGATCCGGCACAGTTATGAGCGTGACATTGATGAATCAGCCCATTTTCAATTCTACTGTGCATGAACAAGAAATGTCCCCCCTTTGGGAATGACCCAAAGACACTTCAGTCAGTGGCACCACCCCAGGGGGTGTGATTATGGTGCTATTGGTAACGTATAAAAAGGTAGCGTGAACACGACATGTAAGCTTGAATTTAAAAAACAATGAACATCCAACTCACCTCTTGGCAAATGATGGATCCATGAATATCATGGGAATGTCTCTGCCTTCCTCTCTTGCAACCAAATACAGGCCCAACATGTGACGGTCAATACCTAAAGAAAAGAAATGAAAATTTCATAACAAATTAATACCTTTTTTCTTAACTACAAAAAACTCATAAGCGAAAGAACTCAACATAAATGAGACATTTAACAAATCTTTTTTTTTTCATTTTATCACAGAACTTATTTAAGATTCAACGCACATCGTTATACACTTAGAAATGAAAAATAACTTATCACACTCACACTGCATATCAGCCCATGCCATACACACAATATCTCAAAGTCTGAACAAAAGTTAAATAAAAATGTATGAAAGGCCTATGATAAGATCAATTCATTTCCAAAAATTCTAAAGTATAAAATCGGACAAAACTATTAACACGGATAAGGGGAATAGGACTCTTGAGCAGTCATCTAGTGGTAAAATAATTCTCTCCAAAATCATTTCCATGGGAAAAAAGCAAGCCTCGCCTTTAGAATGACAACGTTCTAACTTCAGTTTTAGTGAGAATTGAGATTATACATATTACTCACATAGATGTGTCACAGGCTCCAGACAATCTCAGTTTGACACTTAACAATATTCTGTTTGAATATTTTAGCTGTAAGAGTTATATTCTTTTTCTCAAAACTATGCGTCATGGGGTTAGAACCCTGTCTTTTTAAAGGGGCAAATTGTTAAGGCCATCTGCGGGTGAGATTTTCCCCATTTTTACCCAATCTGACCATGCATTATTTCCCCTCAATTTTTGAAACCTACATCCATTTCCTTCAAAGTTTCGAGCACCTGCTTCAATCAATTATGTTTAGAAGTCATTTAAAAATGTAATTTAAAAAAATATTTTACAATTTTGCGTCATGTTTTTTAATATTTTCTTCATTATTTTCAAATATTTATTTTTTCGACTTTAAACTACATCTTCTCCTTTATTTTTCATCCGAATGGCTTCATTATTTTATACAACGTACATCCATAGCTGACCTGTACTGAAATAGAACCCTTTTTAAAGATAATAAAAGAATAAAATTAGAATCAGTGATTTTGTTGGGAATTTTGAGATTTTTTTGCTATTTATCTATGTACATATTCCCAAAGTTCATAAATATTTTCCTAATCGTAATATTACAAATCGGCATTATTTGTTCATTACATATTATGTGTTGTAGTTTGCACTTGCTAAAAATGAAAGCCAACAGACGAAAACTAAGAGAGAAGATAGCTTTTGAAATTTGATGAAATTATCCGATATGGCGGATGTTTGCTTGATAACCATGATTACCATGTGCTTATAATAATAAATAATTACTTGAATTTATTCTTTGATGTCTCACTAATATGAATATATCATCGTTGCTATATATAGTCAAGGGGTATGGACCTTAGATATTTCACCAGCAGATGGCCTTTAAAGGGTTTATCTTTCAAATCTCACTTAAGTTCTGGAGGCAAAAACAAATAACTTGATCGGTCCTGTCTTGAATGACTCTCTGCCGATGTTTGCTGTACTTGCTGAGGTCTATGTAAGTCAATTATTCACTCTTAAATATGCCACACAACTATGGACACCTTCTATTCTTTAATGAATTTATCCTTGTAACCAGCTACAATTCAAATCTCAAGGCTATTCCAACAGGATTGGATTAACAAATTTTTAAGAAAAAGAAATTCCACATTTTAATAAATTCAAGCTATTTTTTAAAATATTTCATATCACTTTCCAGTCCCACGTGGTCCGTTTGCCTAAATAAGTGCAAATATTCGTTGAATATAACTTATCACCACCTAAAAGATGAGCTATCCAATAGCTGACTGACCAGACTGAACTAAAGCTGCCTTTTCATGTTTGGGTTTTTTTCTAAAAATGTTTTTTTTTAAATCGCTGCACTTGATTTGGATGAACTTTAGTTCTAACGCACATGAAATGAACAAAGAATGACTTTACTTCTTTTTCAGCTAGTGCTAGGAAAATACAGATTAGAATTGCAGAAAGATGGACAGTTTGGTTTGGAGGCCAGTACTCCCATTCCCGGTCTTAAGTCACTAAACATGGAGACATCATAATGTCATACCTCTTCCTTCACAAGCTTCAGCCATTTCATAATTATGCTTGGCCACTGCATTTGCAAACAGCTTGAGCTTCTGTGAGACCTATGAAAGGGAAACACCAACAATCACATAAATACAAAATGCATTGTCTTGCAAAAAAAACTCAAAACCAAGCCTTAAAAAAATTAACTTTTCCTTTGTACCACTATAAATATTTTATACACCATCACTGGGAAAAGCTGAAGTCACAGAGTTCAGTTGTAGTTTGCAATAAGCTAGCACAATAATGGCCACATTTCACTGATAAGGAAAAGAAACAAAAACCAAAAGAGAAGAGGAAGGAGCAAACCACATCCAATCACCCATCAACCACCCACGGAGAGGGTTTCATTCTTCAGCTAGGTTCCTTTGAGGTTTGAACAAAGACTACCAGCTTGACACTCAGTAGTATACCAGACGGAGTGAAAATAACATAAATGTTGACATCACAAACCAAGACAGGGACATAAACCTGTAGTACAAGGGACAAAAAGTTGAAACTTTCAAGAGAAAAAGCACTTTTATTGAACAACATTCATGACCAACAAATTATTTGCTTAACATAAAATAAGCTTGAAAAAGCAAAAAGACAAATTTATAGCAAGTGAATTATTTTACTTATCCAAACAAAATAAGACTTAAAATCTAAGTAACCCCACTACTTACTCTTTAGTTACCAATAAAAGGCCTGTACCGAGACATTAAGGAGTAATATAATTTTCCCTCTTAAGCCAACTGCCTCAAAGTTGTTCTAAAGAATAAGAGGCTTGTCAAAATATCCTACCACAAAAATGAACTTGGTGTCAGTCAGAATAATGCTTACTTGCCCCTGATCTAACAAAAAACAATACATTCTAAAAGAAATAACAATTTTGAGAGAAAGCAGTAAAACAACCCCTGTAAAAAAAAAACCTACCTGGATGCTGGGATCCACCATGGCCTCACACCAGAGTTTAACTGCATCTGTGCATGATCTCAAAGTCTCAGTCCTGCCACGGTAGAACTGTTTGGTAGGAGCTGTTTCATATGCTGGGGCCATCCTTGAAATACAAACGATAGGCAAATAATACGCACAGTATCTTGAATTTCTTTCGTCTTGTAAAACAAAAAACACCAATCAAGTATATAAAATCCTTTAAACTGAAATAACAAAAGAGTATTTAACATCAAAGACATTCTTTCACAAAAATACTTTCAACATACTGAAGTTTCAAGATTGTTAAAGGCAAGAAGTGAGATAAATTGCACTGAAAGGAGAGGGGAAGAAGGAAGGGGAAGGAGGACCTTTGGAAATATTCTGTGATTCATGGTTCATAATTTGTTCCTTTAGGCTTTGTTGCAATAATTTGATTAAGATATCATTGCTCTACCATGTCTCAACTCCTAATCAGGATTTTAAAGGACTAAATCATCAGCTATGTTATCTATATAAATATCATAAAACAAAACAAGACTCAGGGCAACCATGCAATAAGCAGAATCCAGATAAGAGGAAAAAGATATTAAATTACATATTAAAAATCTAGATACAAATATTGATTTAAAGTAGAAACATGTAGTCCATAATATAATTAAATACAGTGTAGTCCGCTTAACTCACTTGCGACTGGGCCCTTTCACCAGCCACAAGCGTTGAAGACTGGCGTTTTGGGGGGTATTTCAATAAATCACCACAACTCTCAGAATTACCCTATTGTAATCATTTTTTGACACAGTAAAGTAACATTCAAGCTTAATCTAATACAAAAAACTAAAGTTGTCTAAGTCTAATACTTTAATTTGTATGATTTTTTAAAAATTGGCATGAATTTGATTTTCGAAAAATTTCCAGAGACGTGACAAGTAGAAGGAAATTCACTGCAACAACAAAAATAAAAGTTCAAAGTGTTCTGGTTTGATTTGTATACATGTGCAAGTGTTTGGTGAAAATATAAAAGCTGGTCTGTGCATTGATTCAGACCCATACACTGAATTACATGAGACAGATGTACGGCACCAAGTTGTGATTTCGTTGCGCGAAAAACAACACCGGTACTAGTGCTAGATCTAGCCCTAGAACTACGACTCGGGCCGTGTTCGGGTACATATCCAGGATCCTAACTATTAGACACATCATATTCTGAGACACTAGAACTAGTAAAACGCACAGAAGTATAGAAAACGGCGAAATTATGTGATTCTTGTTCATGCGACTTCTTCGACCGTTACTACGACGCGACTGTCGGATTACTATGAGCTGTATAGAAAAAAACAAAGAGCGAGTTCCGGTCTGTTCAACCCCAGTTGGGGTCACTGTCCTTCACCTTCAATAACTTAAAAACTACCGGCCCCAGAGATACGAAACGAAGTCTAAGTAGCTCAGGCTTGGCCAAACAAGGGTACGAGGCGGGTCTCGCGATCCGTGCGTGATTTGTAGAGCGAAAAAAAAATTCAAAAGTTGGTCACGCAGGGCTTGTGAGACCCGACGCGAGCGTCATGGCGGGGGTCACGCAACTGTTGTGTGACCCGTCTGAAGTGAGTTAAAACAAAAACACTGTTAATCCGAAAACAGCAGTAGACTGAAAGAAAATATGATCCCCCTTTTTCTTTTCTTCGTCTTTGTAAGAAAACTACCAATTAATGGAAATGCTCCCATTTCTAAACCGAAAGAACTTTCAGTGTCATGTTGACTAAAGTCAAGGGAGTAAAGGGGCAGCTTAGCTGTGGGACTACTTCTGACCAAAGATCTTTTCCTAAACCTACAAAAGCTACATCTGCTTTTTTGAAAGCAGTAACAGCTTCCCACAAGTCAACTGCCTGGTCACTTACTTGCCATACAACAAATAATAGCCATAGTGAAAAGCCATCTGGCAAACAGCATCCGGATGGAATCTTTTCCCCTTACAGTAGTTCTTGCCATAGGTCGTATACTGCCAGATGAGTGCCGTGCTTTCTTTCCTCTAGAAACAAGATTTTTAAAAAAGAACAATTGCAGAATTTCCTTTAGGTCAAAATCTCATTCATATTATAAAGACAGAGCTATGTGAACAGCACACTTAAACACCAATCAACAACATTGAAACTGACATGCATACATTGCTGCCAACTTTTCAACCCCCAAAAAACAGACTGTTCCCACATTGCAGGTCAAGATGATGAACATTGGCCAAAAAACTCCTCCAAACATTACATACACATATTTCTGCATGTAATAAATTCCAGTTTTTCAAAGCAGACCTGGAAAATAATGCTAGAAATACTGGGTGAGTATACTATGATAATGGAAAAACTCTAATGACTTATGGGCTTCATTCTCATTATCATTTGTAAATCCGCTCTTGAAAGTTCACAACTTTTCTTAAGCCTTGGCAACTCTATGAGAAGCGAGACTAGAAAACAGAGAATAGATATTTTCTGACACAAAAACAGACTTCCATACTGAAACTCTCAAAAATGTTTTAATCATGTTCTATATGAACTGGTTGGCAGCTTTGTACGTATAACAGGTACCCATCAGACCACCTCAAAACTAAACATCCATATGTCCCTATTTGTAAACTTCCTCTTCTACCTGCCCACAACATTACAGTGCAACTAAAATTGAAGAAGGGACTCTTATAAACTGAGCCCACAGCATTTATTCTATCTTAAGAATAGAAGTCAATCCAAACACATCGTCGCCTCAGAACCATTTTGTCCAAAGTGCCTCTTTACATAAGTACATTTTGGACAAAATAGTTCTGAGGTGACAATACATAACATCAGTGAATATGCAATTAACTTCTTAACTGAAAAAAAACGTTAAATAAACAAACCAGTGCAGCGTAGTTTGCTTTTGCAACTTCAATCTTGCCCTTCAGGTTTTCGTCAAGAACAAACTTCAGCAGCTCAGGCTCTGGGAGGGATCTCTGCTGGGTAGTGCCCTGTAAATTGTTGGTAGAAATGACACAGTCAGGCATACACACAACCAAACACACACATAGCAAACAGATTTTCAGGTCCTGAAGTTTTTTCTTACATGTTAAATCTTTGTATTTAAAATATGTACATGGTGATATTTGTGCATAACGAAAAAATGTCCACATCTCACCAATTTCCCTATGTGCACATTAAACTATATACACTTTGTGCTAACTGATGTTAACATACTATAAATCAAGCTTGGGGAGTGTAAAATGAAAACATTGCACTTTCTTTGTTACACTCTATGTTTTCAAACACACTGCCAAACAAATCTTCTCATATTAAATAAAAACACATATCTTAAAGTGAAACTGAAATCAAAATATGGATCAAAACAAAAATGAATACTGATGATCTGTTCTTTTCCCCCTAAAACAAACTAAATCAAAAAGAGTGAACATGAACATGTCAGTATAAATTACATATGTGAAGATATAACCAAAAAGCTGTTCTTGAAATTCAAAGTACACATCTTACTATTTAAGCTGAATAGTTTCCACATTTTAATAGCACATCATAAGAACTGAGAAAAACATGCAAAGTTACACCATTATTACTTTTAATATCTAAATGCAAATGGAAAATAAATTGAGACTAGATGTTTTAAAGTAGTTTTTACAAGAAAGAGCTCTTGAATTATTTTCTAAAATGGTTAAGGAATCTCACGGTAACTCAAAATCGACCAAAATTGACTACACCGATAATTTTTGCAGATATCTCGGTTTGAGGTTTAGCAACATATTCCTGGTTCCCTCAGACCGGCTCATATATATTTGAAAAGCTTGCAATAAACACAGGTCCTATCCAAATCTACACAGATAGATATATAATAAAAAGATGCAAATAGAGACAGACCAACAAAAACATAACCAGGGACTGAAAGAATATTCACTCGATCAAAAGAATAGAATACAAAAAAGGAAAGGAAGAAACATTAAGATCTGACACTTAGTAAAAGTAGAAAGCTTAATCTAGAGACAAAATAGTTGCAAGGACCATCAACCCATACACTTCAACACATTCCCTAACCTGCCATCTTCAAAATAGTTGCAAGGACCATCAACCCATACACTTCAACACATTCCCTAACCTGCCATCTTCAAAATAGTTGCAAGGACCATCAACCCATACACTTCAACACATTCCCTAACCTGCCATCTTCAAAATAGTTGCAAGGACCATCAACCCATACACTTCAACACATTCCCTAACCTGCCATCTTCAAAATAGTTGCAAGGACCATCAACCCATACACTTCAACACATTCCCTAACCTGCCATCTTCAAAATAGTTGCAAGGACCATCAACCCATACACTTCAACACATTCCCTAACCTGCCATCTTCAAAATAGTTGCAAGGACCATCAACCCATACACTTCAACACATTCCCTAACCTGCCATCTTCAAAATAGTTGCAAGGACCATCAACCCATACACTTCAACACATTCCCTAACCTGCCATCTTCAAAATAGTTGCAAGGACCATCAGCCCATACACTTCAACACATTCCCTAACCTGCCATCTTCAAAATAGTTGCAAGGACCATCAACCCATACACTTCAACACATTCCCTAACCTGCCATCTTCAAAATAGTTGCAAGGACCATCAACCCATACACTTCAACACATTCCCTAACCTGCCATCTTCAAAATAGTTGCAAGGACCATCAACCCATACACTTCAACACATTCCCTAACCTGCCATCTTCAAAATAGTTGCAAGGACCATCAACCCATACACTTCAACACATTCCCTAACCTGCCATCTTCAAAGTAGTTGCAAGGACCATCAACCCATACACTTCAACACATTCCCTAACCTGCCATCTTGCACCAACTTCATGAAGTTTCTTGTGCACAAAGTCTGTGACATACACCATGAGCATGCCTTCTGCTGGTGTGTGCTGGGGAGAGAAACAACAAACATTAGGAGATTGTTTTTTCCAGTTCAAAGTTGCCATCAAAACTTGTTTTCGTAAGGTGATGGCACCAAATGTAGAAACACAAATAATCAATCACACTACTAATCATTTAAACAACCCAATCTTAACCCATTAGCCCCAAGGGAATGACATATATTCATAGTACATAGTACAGTAGAATCTGCTCTAATGGCCACCTTTTCAAGACAATTACCTGTACAAATAACTACTTCCCCTCTTGCATTTTTTTCTACATCATAATGATACTATCCAAGACATCCATCTGTCTAAGACAATCACTTTTTTCCTTGAGACTAGCAGGCCGTCTTGGACAATTTTGGCAGGTCTGTCATTTTTTTTCTAATTGCTTTGAGAACCTTTAGTGCAAAAAATGTGTCCACTATAAAACTAATTTCTAGTAACAAGTTTTGCTACTAAAAAGTGTCATTAGGGAGCTGTGACACAGGCCATATGCATATGCAAAATGTGTGTGAGAAGTGGGAAGTGCTGTGAACAATCCCATTTTCCGCATGATGGAGATCTATTGTATTTTATACAAATTTATGAAGAAAATTTTTTTAATCAAGCCTAAAAAATTCTTGTGAAAAAATATGATAATGTTAAGACAAATTGACACAAACTGCTGCGCAAAGTATGGGTGATTTTGATTCGCTCATTAAAGAGATATTTTAGGATAAGTGCGCCACAAATTTTTGACAGCACTAAAAACAATTAGTCAAACCTGTCTAAGACAGAATCACAAGGGAGTCAGAAAAAAATTCCATCATAGACATTTTTTGTCTTGGACAGGGTGATTTAGGGAGGAGGGGAGGCCGGAGGGCCAGCTGTTCAAAGTAGTATCAAGGGCCAATCCAATCAGCAAGCAGTGGTCGAAAAAAAACTCACATCTCCAAAATGCTATCCGAGCCGCTTTGATAATGGTAGGCATCAGTCTCACTAATCCATTGCATCTCATAAGGACCACTGACCAATTAAAAACAAATGACTGAACGCCCCCACCCATCTGGATCAATAACAACAACCCCCACCCATCGATGCAATAACTACAATCAATCAATGCCACCCCTCTGCTCATAACAAAGATTCATGGAACTCTGCAAGTAACCAGGAACTTTTTTCTTGGCTTACTGTATGATCAAGGCAGAAGGCAGAGCTAAAATTTCACATATCTAGCTACCCAGGAAAGTTTCTGAGCCAGCGTGCCACTTGAGCACTTTGAAGACAAGCACCAGTGAGATTTCACATCCAAACCACCCTGGCCATATGCACTGCTCAAGGTTCACATGGGTGGGGGTAGCAGCTATCTGAAACCGCACCTCTCCCCCCCTCACTCCCCTGTCCCTTGCCTGGTTGCATGGCAGGTGTCACCTAACTTCAGAGTTCTGGTTCAAATAAGGGTTGAGCAGGAGGAGCACTTTCCACCTTAAACACGTCAGTCCAAAGAGATTGAATTTCTCTTTCCATTTCTTGGTTGCAAAGGTTTTCATCTTGGATGTATTATAAAGAAATTTATAAAGGAAGGGGAGAAGACATTACATCATGGCAGGTTTCTGACTTGGACAGGATTTTGTTGTGGCAGGTTGGGCTGTACACAACTTTGACTACAAACCCATTTACTTTGCAATACAGGAAAATGAAAGTAAAAAAATGAATCAATCAAAATTTCCTCAAAATCCAGATTTGACCTTTGATTCCCACTTACTTCTCAGTGTATTACTTTGGACAAGATACTTATTTTGTCAGGGGAGAAAAGGAAATGTTCAGTTTCGCACAGCATGAAACAAAGATGTCTAAGAAATAGTTAACACTCACACAGCATCTCAAATAATTATTTCAATTGTCTTCTTATGTATATACATAATATATATATCTATATACTTACATCTCCATTAGATACAAAGAGACCATCCTCATAGATGCCACTTGACAAAGACTTGTCCAGCCATCTATTTTCACCAAAACCAAGCAATGCTTTGTTTGTGAGCTAAAGAATTTTTTTGATCAGGGTGGAAAGAATAGAAAGAAAAAAAAATTCATTGCGATGCATCAGTTACGTTTTCTATGGTCACAGTTTACAAACAGCATTGTGTATCACACACAGAAAAGATGTATAAAACTTTTAGTATGAAAACCTTAGCATGTAAACAAATCTCATCAACAAAAGAACAGAAATAGGTCTACAGTGCACAAACCCTTTTAAAATACAAGTAGATATATATCCACAACATGTATTTAAGGAGGCACTAGAAAACTTTCCCTTTGGTTCATTTTTATGATTTTATCTACGACAATCTGCTTTTTATTTAATTACATTATTTTTCTTCGTAGGACAGAAGTGAGTTGATTATAGGAGAGAAATCTTTGATCCATTTCGTCATCTAAATGCGACTATAAAAAACTTATCTCGGACCCTCAATGCAATTTGTACTTGAAAAATAAGTGTAGTGTCACAAAAAAACACATATTTGTAAATCAAGTTCTAAAAATCTTTTAACTTCTTTCTTTTTGAGAGCCCATTTTTAACACTCTCCCTTCATCCCACCAGTTAGATGTTTTCATTCACATTTCAAAAAGTCTTTCAGTGACCTCTGATAGATTTTTTCAGGCCACTGAAAATATACTTAAAATGGAAACATCACAATAACCTAAGATATTCATTCAAGGATCCGCAGTCAGCTCATCGTGGTGTAGCTTTCAGCATGCCTATGGTACTGAGGACACCTCGTCAAAACAGAGAGCAGAAATGGATGTTTGATTTCTCCATTAAACCCAAAAAGTGAGAATCAAGAAAACAGACCCTAGATATAACTTTTGAAAACATTGATAGAATGTGAAATCAATACGAATTTTTCACAAGGCCAAAAATAGGAAACTACGGAAAGTCTTCTCACTTTGAAGACTTTCCTTAATTAGAAAGGAAAGTTTTGTATAGAAAGAAACCAGTAAAAAGAAAGTTTTTAACCAAAGAATAATTGGGCTTATATCCTATCATTTTCAAGATCTTCAACTCACGGCAGTGATTTCATCCATCTGTCCAGTGGGGTCACCTCCAGGACCACTTTCAAACCAGAAGCACATTATGGAACTTTGAATCTTCTCCAGAACCTCAAAATTGTGTGGATTCAAAGCGATCAATTCATTACGTGCCTGAGGAACAAACAAAATGCCTAATTACCACTTCATGCTTAAAATGGATCATTACACTAAGCTAAGGACATAATTGTTACAATTTCAATTATTCGTTTTTTCTGTCTTTTTCTAACTTTCTTCTGGGTTCAAAGACAGCTAACAGTAGATTCTTCAACCCACAGAACAGAAGGTCACAATATGACCTGGCTTCACATTAAGAGAAGAGTGTGCTTTGCATCTGAGTTTAAGGAAAAAAGACAAAAACAGCCACCTTGCCTTAATCTTGTTTTGTTTTTCCACAATTTGCCATGGAGCAGAAATCTTTCTCCCACTGGAAAAACAACACCATCAAGAGTATGAGTACAAGGATCAGACAAATGGTTAGGAAATCAAACAAAATGAGAATCCTTACTGTGGCCCATCTTGTTCTCTCCTCTGAGGTTAAGTACTGAACTCCCTGAGCTGGTTCTAGTGTCTTACAGCGATCCACAACGCGCTGAAACTGAGTTTGAAGCTCAGGAGCGGTCAGAATTTCTCCTGATTCGTCGAGAGTATGCACAACAAATGGATGCCCCTTGCACATTGCAATCACATGATCCGGGCATGATCCTTCCTCGTCTGAAAGTAAGAGTAGATTATTTATAGGCTTGCAGTGTTTATTCATAAAGATCATGTTTAAGGGACAGCATGCACTGTTTTATTAGTCAAGTAACAACATTTTGTTCCTCCATGAGGCGGCTGACAACTGTCAATACAGTGAATGTTATTTAACAACAGTGCTCATAAGATTTGAAGAGACATAATCAAGTAACTTTGTATGGGATGTCTGTGGAAAGTAATGATGAGATCTTGAGGATGTGGCTTTGAGTCCTCCAGACTTCTATGTGCACTAAGAAATGTTTAACCCTTTGTTCATTATCTATCTCACTCCGAACTAGTGTCCTTTAAACTTGGGGGGGGGGGGCTTCCTAGAAAACCACTTTCATGTTGGAAAGTCAGACAGCACCACACCAGAGTGAAACATTTCAAACGTCAAGCATTACAAGGAAAAGACTATTAGGTTCTTACAGGTGAAACAAAACATGTGCTCTCTGAAAACTAAAGTCATCTAAACATCATTCAGATGACAGTAACACCTTACCAGTCTGAAAGTACTCCTTGAGATCATCCCTGTGTGCTCCAGGTATTGTGCAAGTGTTGAAAACCCTACGGAACTGATACATATCCAGTGGCCGTCCTTTGCCATCTTTCATGGGCTTATATGTTTGCCTAGATGAGACAAAGGACAAGAATGAAAAGTAAAAGATTTATTAAGTCATGCAAAGCTCTGATCAAATTTGAAGAAAAAAAGAGTGTGCTTACAGTCAGAAGTGGATCAAGCAGTAAACTGGACAATTACCTGAATGCCAACAAAATTTAACTTTCCCAATATAACTAAAACATTATTTTCTTGAAGGAAGTCATTCCAACAAAAAAAACCAGACACGGAAACACTGACAAAAAATCCTACCCAAAGAAAAACTTTTATAATGGCCCTTCATAAAAATGTTAACATTTCTATGCTAACTTCCTTTTCTTTGTGTTAGTTGCTGAACGGGTTCACATTTTCTGGGAATAGTTTAGTAGGCCTATAAGAAAAAATAGTTCACAGAAATCATTTACCAGGCAATGCACATAAACAACAGTATTCCAACAATTTCACACATAATTTTTAAAAAGTCAATACATCAATCTTGGAAAACTAAACTTTATGACTAAACAATAACTGATTAAGCACCTTCTGATGTGTTGCCAAATTTGAAGGATATAGTGCAGAACTAGAGCAGCTCTTTGAACCTGAGTGCCCATCTTGGCTGGCCATATGTCTTCAGAATACGGCGATGGACCTGCCATGTTCATGTAAGGGGCAGGAATCCTTGCTTCCAGATAAGCAACATCTTCCCACCATTTTGCCAGCTGGAGAAGGAAAAGTGGTAAATATACACTTTAAAAACCCATTATACCCAGCATACAACCATTCAACCCTCTTTTATCCAATCAAATGCACTCTCCCATTGCCTTTGCTCTCTTAAACTAAACAGCTTCCAAAGAAGAATACCATACATAATTGAACCTTGCAGAACCTATATTAATCTAGAAATAAATGTACCAAAGGCCTGACTTATTTTGGAGGTTTGTAAAAAAATTACAGGGCTGTGGCAAGGAGGGAACACACACACATATAATGGGCACTTCTGCAACAACTTGACTCACAAAGGAACACACTTCCTGGAAGCTTTTCAACAATCACTATTTCAAACAGATGCAGCGACCTAATTTGAACTTTTGTTCAAATTTAAACAGACATCTAATTTTTTATGAACTGTCAATTTTATATGTGACACAAACAGTGAAAGCAACACTCAGAAGCATCAACTCAGCCATAATTCTTCTTTAATTTCTATTAAAAAATTCAGAAGCCAGAGGTTCATACAGATCATCATTGTAGTAGCAAAGCCAAGAATTTCTTAATTATACATTCATGTGTGCATCACAGCTTTAAGGACACAATATTTTTGCATACACATACGTATGTGCTGGTACAGCAGGATTCAACCAAGGATGGTCAAACTAGATACAGATGAGTGGATGCTTTCTTTGATAACAAGTATAAAACAACAACAGAATTCACATGTGCTGAAAAATGTTTAACCAAAAATGTCAAAACAAGAAAATTTTACTATACAAACAACAAAAAGATGACAAGATCCACCGCCAACACACACTTACCCAGTTTCTCTCTACTTTTGCTTTTTCAACCAATTTCTGTTGAAGATACTTTCCTTCTCCAGACACAAACTGCTGTACAAGGAATTCTGTTGACTTATATTCTTCATCTGAAACGTGATTCCTCACTGGAAAAACAAAGAGGTTTAAAACATATCAATAAAAGTAAATTTTCATGTACAGTTTATCAGCATGTACAGGACTTTGAAAATCATAAATTGTTGATTTACATTTTTCTACCCAGTTGAAGACTTATCTCACTTCCATAAAAGCAGTAGAAGAGTCCCTTTTTCAAGGAGAATCTAATATCTATTAGAATCCAAAGTATTCATTTTTCTGATCCACGAAAACTTACTGATTGCAGAATACATCCTCAGATATTTCCACACATAGGTAGACTCTAGAGAAAAGTATATGACTGTCACAAATTAAAATATTGTGAGAACAGAATAGTCCCATGTGAGATAAAAGTAAAACTTGGTTCAACAGTTACTTATTGAATTATTTATACAAATATTTTTCACAATGAGGTTCAAAACTTGTTTCCATATTCTGTTTTTTTTTAAATTCTGACATAAAAAAGAGACCTGTCAGGGAATTACAACAAAACAAGAGTTATATAAAAATAAGTAGCTCAAATGGAAAACATTATGTAAATACCTGATTTGATTACAAGAATTTTGCCAAACATTTGGTTCTGCACATTATAAGCACAAGAACTGCATGATAGAACACAGGCATTTACCTGATTCCAAGTATTTCTTTGCTGTCTTCTCTAGCTCTGGAACTGGTAAGGTCAAGAGGTCTTTGTCATACTGAAAGGTTTTCTCAGTCTTAGAAGTGATGGTGTCTTCAACAGATTTCATTTTTAACAAGCTTGGAGCTCTGCAATATCAGACATAAAAAAACCAAGTCATATCAATCCACATAGTAATAGAAAGTACATTGCTAAAATTACAGAAACAGTCCTGGCATGTCAGTAGTGACGTAACTTTACGATATAATCAAGTCAGGTTATCTTATCTTGAGCCACTTATACTTATAAGCCACTGCTGCAAACATTTTCAACTACATACTATCCTGCTGTAGACGTATGTTCTGACTCCATATCAGGTGGGTGGGGTAAGAGGTGGGGGGGAGGGAGGGACGCAACAGGTAGTACACTTCAAAAAGATATTCTGGGATCAAGAGAAAAAGAAACATCATGCAACTTTAAATGAGTCAATTCTCATTTTTCTTTCACATGATATTCATGTGATTTCTCTCCAGACAGAATCTAAACAAAATCATCCTTACGGTCAAACTCTTCCCCATCAACCTCATATTATTTTAAGACTCGACTTTTTGCACAGTGCTTTAATACATTCAGAGGTGCCAACTGGAACCAAAAAAAAATCCCTGAACTTTTCTAACCCCATGAAAAATGTGCGTGCAGTGACTTCAAATGTTATCGTCTAATACATCTTGTATCAAGAAGTCAGGCAAAATTTGGACAATTTATCCATAAAACTGACACCTCTTTACAGTACAAGCATGTACTTTCAAGCCAAACAAACCTAAAGTATTCCCATGGCCTCATAATGAGGGCATAGTGGGGATCTTTTTTATATTTATTACTTGATGTTGAGGGAGTGGGGGGGGGGGAGGAAATTTCTTTAATGGAAAAGTAAACGAGTTTAAGCTTTAAAATACAGTATTGATATGCTGTTAGTCCAGATTTAGAAGCCCCCCTCAACAGAAATGTTAGCACACTGAACCATCGGTATCCCACAACAACAATAATTATAATCTATAATCTTTCATAGGAAAGAAAAAAAACCATGTCAAAACCAAAAGTAATCATAAAACTAATTCCTAAAAACTTTGACACCAATTTTTTCTATTTCATTTTTCCTATCTTCATTATTTACAAATCTGGATTCATTGTCCTATTCATTGTCATGTTGCACTGGGGTTGGCTACCATTGTTGTAATTAAGTAGGCAAAAGTAAAGACTCTGTTTCTTGATGAAGAAGGTTGATTTAATTATTTAACATATATAAGAAAATGACATGAGGTCTGTCCTCTCTGGCTTCACTGACAAGACTGAATCATAATGAGCACGAGCACATGTGGTTAAAACAGGAAGGAGGAGTGAGTAAAGATCACTGAGATCAGACAATCTTTGGTGTGAGGGAAGATAAAATAAATAAAAGAATTATTTCAATGTATAGTGAAATTATTATAGTGCGAGTACAAGCCACATGACGGGAATTGTAATTTTGTTTCTCCTTTTCAGAGGTCTTTATAGTGGGAGGATACCCTCTCTGCGATCTGCTAGAATATCAACCAGCATGACAATTTAAGCTACTGAGCTACTAGCAGTACTTCTTGACTAAGAGTGTGAAAAGAATAAATTTACAACCTTTATTTAGCAATAAAAGCTCTATGTGTAATTGTATCAGATCCTCAAAAAAAGGTGAACAGACCAGAAATATACTACACAATACATACACCACTGCCACTATGGAATCAGCCTTCGAAGTGTAACACTAGTAGGCTGTGCATAAAAACTACCTTTGTGTATCAATGAAAAATGCAGGAGAACTGGACCTTGCCCTCCACCAGAAGTAGTTGTGATAACTCAAGTAGGCCTACTCTAAAAATAAACCTCTGCTTTGACTTTGTGTAGGCTATCTTACAAATCAAACTGTCATGTTCAAATAGCATAGAGAGGCCTTATAATAGAATTATTATAGTAAAGCTATTACTATTTTTATTACTACAATAATAACTCAGTTATAACAATTAGGCAACCAGAGGCACAACCTACCAATTATTTGGCATAGAGGCCTAATATTTGCAAGGCAAGACTCAGTATTAGCATTGGCACTAGTAGTTATATGTAGTTCTAGAACTAGTGGATTTTTTTTACTCATGCACCCGTCTCATATACATGTTCGTTTGGTTTTTTTTGGTTTTTGGTTGTTTTTTTAGGGGGGGGTTCTAGTAGTACTTTGCATGCTGAACATGAAAATGACCTTCATTTTTCCTGCAAATCAATAGTTGTTGAGTTATTGATGTTTGAAAATAAAATTAATATTTGACTTGATGTTAACAACATGGGGGGTTTCAGGGGGGCCTAAAAAAGAATCTGGGGGGTTTCAGGCCCTGCATTTCACAATGATTTGATGTTTTGGCAATTAGGATTGATATATTTATTTCAAAACAATTGATTTGCAAGGGTTTTAGTGGCCATACATGTGTTCTACAGCAAAAATTATGGTAGTTTAGCCCTCAAATCAATGCATCTGTGTGGGGTCGGTTGAAAGTGTCGGTCGGAGACGGTCGCAAAGGTCGGCAACGGTCAGCGACGGTTGGCAATGATCGGCGATAGTCTGCAACAGTCTGCATTAAGTATTGTACGTCAACTGGCTGTATGTGTGACCAAAAGATCTCCCTCCCTCCCTCCCTCCCTCCCTCCCTCCCTCCCTCCCTCCCTCCCTCCCTCCCTCCCTCCCTCCCTCCCTCCCTCCCTCTCTCCCTCTCTCTCTCTCTCTCTCTCTCTCTCTCTCTCTCTCTCTCTCTCTCTCCCCCCCCCCCTCCTGAGATGAATTCTTGAGGAGTCCTTGACTGCAATTCACTAGCTAATGAAGGCTTTATTATGCTGTGAAATTTTGTTGAATGAGTTCACTTGAGCGCCTGCTCAGTGCGGCCGTCCAGAGTCTTTCATTGTCCGAAATGACACCAAATTATGATATTAATGTACTAAATTACCGAACACTTTTACGATCTTCCAGAGCTACTCATAAGGAAATAAATAGCGGACTCTCACAAAGCAATCCTACCAGTGCATAAAAGCATTTCCTTCCAGTGTGTGTGTTTGTGCACTGATCCAGTTATACTCCTCAATAATGCTTGGAAAGAATCAGAAACAAACGCCATGAAGCGTACGTCTGTCCCACTTGTGTTGGAGAACCATTTGATTATGCAAAGTGCATGATCAGATTTGAAGAAGTACATTTATGCGCGTGTGCGTGCGTGTGTTCATGTGTGAGCAGAGGCGAAGCGTCTATATAATCAAATAATCACTGCTTCCCTTCCTAATTTTGAAACATTGTCGCAGTCAAATTCACCCATAGACGTAAACCTCATAAATTAAATGTAAAAAGACGTTCATAATCACCAATGAACAATAGACTATGCCTAACCTTCAAAGACGTTTCATTGCCACAGAAACAGCCTGTTCGCCCCTATCGGGCCACTCCATAAGCAGTCACAAGCTTTGATTAAGTAAGCTTAAAGTGAGGCTGGAAGAGTCAACCAATAGATTTGAAGGGAACATGTGCATAGCAGACAGAACTGTTTCATTGTCGCATATACCCTGTTCACCCCTTTTGGGCCACAGTTATAAGCACCCAGACACGCTGATTATCTAAGCGAACTATTACACTGGTCGAGTCTACCTCAGAGATGTGAGGGGAACTAACTCCTAATAATCCTTTGACTCCTGCTACTACACTGCTAGTGCTTGGTTTTTTCCTCGACTTTTTAACGTCCTATAATCAGATCGTGACCTCGATTATGACAGCCGCTCCTGGCCGCGAAAAGTTAGACAAAAAAACAGCCAAATGTGAAATAAAAAATTAATAATTGGCATGCTCTACCAAAGTGTTTCGGCTGTCTGGTATAACATGCCATTGTAGTGCTGACATCTGCGCTTCTTTCCTTGGAATTCGTGTGTTCAAATCTAAAGTTAAATTTAAAGTTAGTAAGAATAAATATTTAATGAAATACTTTCCCGATTATTTTAGCGGTTGAACAAGCATACAACATGAATTCAGGATTTGTTTTCATTCAGAACTCAGAGTTGCCGTCTCCAGTGCCAGTAAGATTCTTGTGACTTGTGTGAGTGTGATATCTCCAGGCCCTATCTGGTCCCATTTCCCTTTGATTACCCTGTCAAACAAGTCAGCCTTCGCCCCTGTGTGTGAGTGTGTATGTGTGTATATGCCAAGTATGTGTGTGTTCTTTCTGAAACAATGATTTTAAGATAGATGTATTTATGTAAAGAAAAATGATCTCTCTCTCTCTCTCTCTCTCTCTCTCTCTCTCTCTCTCTCTCTCTCTCTCTCTCTCTCTCTCTCTCTCTCTCTCTCTCTCTCTATCTCTCTCTCTCTCTATCTCTCTCTTCCTATCTTATTTAGGTAAAGAAATCTCTCTTATTTCTCTCTCTCTCTCACTCTCTCTCTCTTATATTTCTCTCTCTTCTTGTCTTATGTAAAGAAAAATTATCTTCTTGTCTTATGTAAAGAAAAATTATCTGTACTCTATTCATAACTAGTTTGGAAAACAAGGTTCAAACTTGGCAGACCAAGTTTTGCAGGTCGCTGATATGGTTAAAACTCATGGAGATTTTGTAAAAAACATAAACTTTCAAGTCATCAATGAATCAATGTCTCCCTCCATCATTGATCTTGCTTTTGGATGAGCAGGTGGCTGACATACAGAAACTTTGCTCTAGGTCGAGAGTAGTCTTGGGTATTGATAAGACATACAATCTTGGAGAGCTAATGGGGATGGCGATGAATTATAAGCACACGGGACTCCTTCATCGAAATTGCAATGAGTCACCAATCATGATTGGCCTGATCTTTTTGCATGAAAATTCGACTTTTGAAACGTTTTTTTTTTTTTTCCACCATGGCAGCAACGATTGGACATTTCACCGATGGTGTTTGGATCTGACGATGAAAAGTCAATCATAAGAAAGAGCAATTCAGAGTGCTTTTCGAAACTCCAGCCTGACATTATGCACGCTCTATGTTAAGAAAAACGTTGCCAGACATTTGAAGGATAAAGTTGGCGTTGCTTCCAGACAGAGGAACATTGATAAATCAACTCTTTGGAGATGACGGGCTTTCAAACTCATCAGACGAGGTCACGTTTGATGTGAGAATGGAAAGCCTGAAAACGATGTGGCCGGAAAGAGACACGCCCTATCTCAAGAGGACAGCGCAACAAATATTAGTGCTAAAGCTGAACTAGAATGGCCAGCTCGAAGACACGCAGTGGACCAACAACAATGCAGAGTCTCTCAACCATTCATAAGCTGAAGAATACCGTTGAATGGAAACCGAGATAGCTCCCTGACCTTATAAATAAGCTGAGAACAATGGCTTAGGCTCAACAAGTGGACGCAGCACCAGCCATCACTGACCGCAGTGAGTTTCAATTGGCTCCACATGCCGCGAACAAACAACTACAAGGAAACGTTTGAGTAGCCATGACAGAAAAACAAACGGAAGAGGCTAGCCGTACTTAAGTACGGCTAGACTAGCAGTCTAGCCGTACTTATTCTCTTAATATGATGGCTAGACTGACCATTTACAAAAAATAGGCCTACTGAATTGTAAATATACATTTTTAGTGTGAAGTACACCTAAAGCATTTGTATTTGAGACGAAACCAGGGGCCTTAATGACAGTGCATGTATTTTAAACCTCCTGTTTTCTAATGTTAATCGAAGTGGCTAGCCGTACTTAAGTACGGCTAGACTGCCAGTCTAGCCGTACTTAGATCTAGGTTTGGCCCAATCGACTCAAGCCTGTTAAGTACACAGGTCTCATTAGATCTAGATCTAGTAATTATTCAGGTTCAAATACATGCAAGTCAGTAAGGCACCTTTTGGTTTTGTCTGAAATACAAATACTGTAGGCATTGCAAACTAAAAATTTCATTTACATATCAGCCATCAATATTAAGTACGGCTAGCCTGACAGTCTAGCCGTCCTTAAGTACGGCTAGCCTGGCTGATATGTAAATGAAAAAGTGATTCAGCCTTAGCTCGACAACCAGTCACCGGCCGCTAGTCTCTTTCGCAACATGACAACACAGGATTTTTATACCTCGGCTCGGCCTCAAGTCTCAATAGGCCTAGAATCTAGATCTAGACTAGATCTAGAATCAAGGGACAATCAATTGAAACACAGTAAAAAAAAAACCTTGCAACATTTTAACGATTCGAGCTACCCTTTGTTTTTACGGAGAGCTAGAACTAGATATCTCTAGATTTAGTACAAAACAAAAACCTACCATTCGTTGAAGGGAAGTGTGTAACAATGTCTGACTGCAACAGAGAAGAGCGTCTTGTCGGAGCAAAGTCCAGGCCAGCCAAACTGACTGCTAGGCCCTGTAGCCTACACATTGAGTGGTGAGACTTCAAGCCACCAGTACTACTTTTTTTAGTCAACCATGTCATCCAGAGATCTTGCCTATAGAGAGATCGCCGACGTCAATGTATTTTTAACACCGCAAAGAGGTTACGACAAACACGTTCGCTAGTGGTAGGCATAAATGTGGCGAAGGACTGTTGTTTTACTGTCGATTAAGATTATTGTGGCCCTTATCGGGGATTTCACCGTAATAAAAATGGAAATTTGAGAATAACAGCATATTAACTCTGAAATTGAAATTGCTTAGATTTTAAGTTAAGGCATTATTGGTGAATTTATATATAATAGTTTTCTGTTTCGTTCTCGGACTTCTCTAGCCAAGATTTCACACTTACGATAGAAACTGCCAGGGCATAAGAACAAGGGTAAAGAACCGGTACCCACATTTTCTTTATTTCTTTGTTAGTATTGTAATTCTAGATCAAAATTCTAAACCGACATTTAGACAATAGATCTAGATCTACCGTACAGAATGAATCTAGAACCTAAATTTGTTATTTTGTAGCTTGTTCACTTTAGTCTGTGCGCGTTAAAAACATTCCAGCTCTTAATTTTTTCCTATGCTCACAAAACTTTTTAAAAATCTAGATTCAGTAATAAAATTAACATTTCTCCACTTAGGCCCTGTATTAAAAACCACTGTTTGGCTACATATAAAATGAATGATTTACAGTAATTTACTAACTGCTACTACTACTACTACTGCTACTACTACTACTACTACTACTACTACTACTACTACTACTACTACTACTACTTTATTGTAGGTAGCCCTTCGTTGCCGAAGATGACGATGAATCCTGCAGCTCATCTGTGGACGCGTATGTGGCTGTGCAATCCCATCTTGGATGTACAATGTCTGTTGCAGTGGGGACACTGGAATGTCGTGGTTGTGGTGGTTGGCTTTATGTCTCCTCTCTCTTCTGGTAGTCAGCCTCTCCCTGTAGTTTGTATCACTGTTTCTGCTGGCAATACGGACGGCCCTGCGCCAAGTGTTTCTTTCGGTGGCAGTTCTTTTGAGTTCTTTGGGGGGGTTACCTGTGCGAGCTGAAGGTTTTCCTTTATAATGTCTTTGAACCGCTTTTTTGGCCTCCCGAGATTTCTTTTGCCACTTGCGAGTTCGCCGTACAGCAGCTGTTTGGGCATTCGGTGGTCTTCCATGCGGATGACATGGCCGACCCACCCATCTCAGTTGGGCTTTGACGAGCATGCTTTCTATTCTTTGTGAGCTTGATCGGTTAAGGACCTCAATATTGGTGATGCTGTCTTGCCACCGGATGCCGAGTATGCTGCGGAGAGCCCTTTGATGGAACTGCTCTAATTTGTTGATGTGCTTCCTGTAGAGTGTCCAGGTTTCCGAACCGTAGAGGAGGGAGGAGAGCACAACAGCTTTGTACACTTTGATTTTTGTTGACAGCCGGACATTGTGCTGTTTTAGTACCTTGTTTTTCAGTCTACCGAGAGCTTTGCTGGCTTTGCTGATTTTTGAATCAATTTCCTGATCGATGGAGCCGCCTGCAGAGATGATACTTCCAAGATATTTAAAGTTCTTGGTGTTCTTCAGGCTGTTGCCATTGATAGTGATGTTTGGAGACAGTGGGTTAGTTTGTGGAGCAGGCTGGTGAAGAACTTCAGTTTTCCCGATGCTTATTGTAAGCCCAAAGAGCTTTGAGGCTTCTGCAAAGCGAGAGAGCATTGTTTGCAGGTCCTCTTCGGAGTGAGCATTCAAGGAGCAGTCATCGGCGAAGAGCGCCTCCTGAAGGAGCTTTGTGCTGATTTTTGTCTTGGCTTGCAGGCGACGTAGATCAAAAAGAGAGCCATCCAGTCGATAATTTAGGTATATTCCCTTGTCAAGATCATTGCAGGCGTAGGAAAGCATGGCGGTGAAGAAGATGTTAAAGAGGACTGGTGCCAGGACACAGCCCTGTTTGACGCCATTAGTAATTTCGAATTCGTCGGTCGTGTTGCCACTTGCAAGGACTTGCCCTCTCATGCCTGTGTGGAAGAGCTGGATGATCTTTAGGAACTTGGGAAGGCAGCCAATCCGTTCCAGGACAGTCCACAGGGCTTCTCTGTTGACCGTGTCGAAAGCCTTAGTAAGGTCAATAAAGACTGAGTAAAGAGGCATATTCTGTTCTGTGCACTTTTCTTGAATTTGTCTCATGACAAAGATCATGTCTACAGTGCTTCTCCCTGGCCTAAAGCCACACTGAGCCTCTGGTAGGATCTTTTCTGAGATGGTTATTAGTCTGTTGAGGATAACCCTTGCAAATATTTTCCCTGCTATGGAGAGAAGGGAGATGCCCCTGTAGTTACCGCAGTCCGCTTTACTGCCTTTGCTTTTGTATAGCGCAACTATGAGCGCGTCTTTGAAATCAGCAGGCATTTGCTCTTCTTCCCAGATCTGCAGCAAGATGTCATGGAAGGTTTCCAGGGCTGAAGGCCCTGCTGCCCTGAAGATCTCAGCTGGAATTCTGACTTTTCCAGAAGCTCTGCCAGAGTTGGTCTTGCTTATTGCCTTTTTGATTTCATATATAGTAGGAGGAGCTTCTAGGTCCTCCAGGAGTGGTTGCTGGGGTATTTGACTGAGAGCATCTTGGTCAACAGTGGAAGGTCTGTTCAAAAGGGAGCTGAAATGCTCGGTCCAGCGCTTGAGGGGCCCTTCTTGGTTCTTGATCAGGGTTTTGCCATCCGAGGACAACAAGGGAGAACATCCTGAGGTCGTTGGGCCGTATACGATTTTCAGAGAGCTGAAGAACATCTTGGAGTTGTGGGTATCAGCATAGAGTTGGACTTGTTCTGCCTTATTGTTCCACCATGAATCTTTCATCTCACGTAGATCCTTCTGGGCTCTAGCTTGAAGGGACTTGAATCTTTCCTTTTGGGGGAGGGACGAGGGGTCGTTTTGCCATTCTGCATAGGCTTTGTTTTTGGCTTGGATTATTTTTTTTATTTGCGTATTGTTTTCATCGAACCAATCTTGGTGTGTTTTAGCTTTCGGGCCAAGTATAGCAGTGGCGCTTTCACTGACAGCTGTTTTGAAGGAATTCAATTTTTCAGATAAGTCACTAATAGAAATGGGATCTTCGCTGAGTTTCTTTTCGAGAGCTTCTTTGAACTTGTTTCTGTAGAATTCGCTTTCAAGCTTTGTTGTGTTGCTGCTGCTGCTACTGCTACTGCTGCTACTGCTACTGCTACTACTACTACTACTACTACTACTACTACTACTACTACTACTACTACTACTACTACTACTAGGGGCGGCTCGTCCATAGAGCACGGTCGTGCACTGCCGCCCAATAATTTTCAGCGCACAACACCCACAAAGTGACAACAAAAGAGCCTTTACCATCCACCATCCAATCAGTTTTCCCTATAAGTTCCTCGCCAGAACCTCTTCGTTCATTACAACATCTACAACAACTCTAAAACATCTACTATACCATATCAAGTTCTTGTGCGTCGCCCAAGTAAAAAATAGTATGTTCAGTGGTGTAATCTATCTCGGAAAATGCTCTATGGGCAGACCCAAACTACGATGACGTTTTGACCGAGTTTCTTAGTTCATAAATATTAATAAGGCGGCACAATCTCAATGTGCACCAGCCGAACAAAGTCCATAGAGACAGTCTAAAAATAACGCGATCTCAGACCAGTTTACGATAGCCTACACAATTCAATGCCCGTATTATGATAGCTTTGGAGCAATCCACCGGAGTGCTCCCAGCGATGTGCGATTCTCCCATTCTATTTCCATTTATATCTCTGGCCCCACCTCTGTAACCCTGAACTTGAGCGAGGTCAACATGACGTAGTTAGGTAATTGTGTTAGCCTAGAAGTTGGAATGGTGTAGTGGTGAAAGTTTTATTACTCGAGTGTGTATTCCTATGCAGGATGAATGAAGTTGATTGCAAATAAATTCAGTTCACCAAACAAAGTAACAAGAGAGTGAATGAATTAAGTCCTCACCAACCCAAAAATATCAAAATAATACAATGATTAAAAAGTGGAGTGGCTTACAGTCAGCGATAGCAAATTATACTCATTGTAGACCTAGATTAGGCCTACTGTTTCTCCTGTCTGCTTTTTGGAACTGAGGACCCCAAGAAGTCTAAGACAGGTTTTACTGATCTTGTCCATGAGAAACAAAGCATTAAAGTCAAAAGTCATCAAGAGCGCACGTAAAAAATGCCGTTAAGTATCATACTTTCGGACAAGTAGACATAGCAGCTAGTCGTAGCAACGTCTCACTATGACGAAACTGATGAGAAAGAACAGGCACGTATTGTGTAATACGGGGTGCCCACTACGGATCGCCCGACTCGATCGCCTCAAAAACAAACGTGTTTGTTTTTCAGTTTCAGGCGATCGAGTCGGGCGATTGGCCCTATCCAGCCGTAGTGGGCACCCCGTATAAGGTTATCTAGTGTATTTTGTTCTTTGAAACTCACGAACTCGCCCTTCACGGTCATGAAAAGGGTGATTTGTCGGGGAACCGAGGTATTAAAATTTTTCGCTAACGCTATGCAGACTCTTCGACATTTTTTGCCCACTCTACAAAATGCTTCTGCGTTTGTCACCGGAATATTCCTTTGGCCGTCTGAAACAAGTAACAGTCTCGACTAATTAGTGCAGTCTTCATTTGGAAAGGAGAGATCCAGCTCTGTCTTGAAGAAATTCAGTCTGAGCACTGGGACGATAATTCCATCCACGATGGTATCCTGGATGTATAAAAGAGCGAAACATTTTCTCTTTTTTCCCCACTTTTTCAACAAAGTGTACACGCGCGTTGACGCTGTTTATGGGATCCTCTAACACAGAAGTACAACGCCCATAGCAGCCTAACAAGTTCTAGACACGTTTAAAGTAGCTGTCGATGAAATTAGAAACAGTATGCGTGTTCCATCAACAAGACAGACCACAGAGAAACACGCTTCCAAGAGACGCAGACATTACAACACCAACGAAATTGCTGCAAAGCAGGCCTGTGACATAATAGTTACTCAAATTG